CTTGAAACCCTTGAAACCCTTGAAACCCTTGAAACCCCTAAAACCCTAAAACCCTAAAACCCTAAAACCCTAAAACCCCAAAACCCTAAAACCCTAAACCCTAAAACCCTGAAACAATACCCCTAAACCCTACAAACCCCTAGGGGAAGGGGATGAAAGGCGCGTCCGGGGGCGTGGGCACCAGCTGCACCGCCTGCGCCGCGCGGGAGGCTCCTACAGCGCGCTGGAGCATGCCCAGGCCTGGAACACACAGGGGCTGGTTGGATTTGTTTTTTTGGGTTTTAGGGTCTTAGTTTTAGGGTCGTGTTTTTAGGGGGTTTTGGGGTTTTTTAGAGTTTGTTTTTACGGTTTCGGGTCTTCTCTTTGGGGGTTTTAGGGTTGTTGAGGTTAGGGTCTTGTCTTTAGGCGCTTAGGGTTTCAGGGGGGTTTAGAGCTTAGGGTTGCAGGAGTTTGGGAATTTTGGATTTTCGGGGTTGAACACGGGCGTTTGAGGAGTTAAATGGTTCAGGGTTATGGTCTTGGATCTTCAGGGGTTGGGTGTTTCGGGTTTTAGGGCCTAAGGCTTTTTAGGGTTTACATGAACGGCTTGGGATGTGGATTTTGGGCTTCCGGGTTCCAAAGTTCCAGGACTTGAGGGCGAAGTGCCTTGACTTCTGCAGCCTTCCGAGAGTCACACGCACTTGAAGGTTCATGGTACTTGCTAACCAATTATGACTGGGCTTATAACCCTACTTATAATTGGGATAACCCCTATGAGGCCCTTTAGGGGTATTATAAGTAGGGTTATAAGTACAGTTATAATTGGTTGAGCAAGTACCATGAACCTTCAAGCAGGCCTCCATCTTCCTGGCTGCCCTCCGCCCAAACGCAGGAGGAGCCCACGCAGTTCTCCTTGCGTTCGCATGCAGCCCTCTAGCCTTCACGCCTTAACCACATGAGAGTCCTACTCCTGCTGGGGGTTGGGGGCTTAAGGATTAGGGTTTAGGGTTTAGGGTTTAGGGTTTAGGGTTTAGGGTTTAGGGTTTAGGGTTTAGGGGCAGAGCCGTAGCCAACCATCGCATCAGAGGCTCAGAAGAGTCGTGGGCCCCCAGCGGAAGGAGGCAGGACAGGGCAAGGAGCGAGCATGGCAAGGTCCAGTGAACCATGGTCTATAAGCTAGAGGGATTTGATGTTTTGGGGTTTCGGGGTCGATAGAAGGGGCTCTTGGATCCTGAACCCTAAATCTCCGTAAACCTTCTTGAAAGCGACCTCTATAGGTCCATCAGCGCCTTCCGATGGGTCGGTGGGTTAAAGACGCATATCAGCCTTACTTAAGGGTTTTCAACTTAACTTAGGGTCTGGGACTGAATCGGTTATGCCAGCAGTCGCTGAGCTTTTTCCCGGGGGTTCAACAGTTTGTGGTCTCGGGTCTTGGAACTGAATGCTCAGCTCACTCATTCCAGGCCCACCCAGATGGTGAATCATGAGCTCTCCTTGATAAATAAAGGCATAAATCCGTCCACAACCCCCACAAATCTGATGCTCCGCGGCCTCAGACCGAAAAGGTACTTCAAGCGCCTCAAGAAAATTGCGCAATTAAACGTTGCGTAGCACCCCGTTCTTCCAGATCCCGGCTTCAAGTTCAACAACGCAACACATGTTGTGATCACATCCAGAACAAGCGTAACTATAGCAACACTGCCCCCCCACCCATACCAAAAATCCGTTCCTGTGGTTGGGTTCTGGCATAAACAGCAGGCAATAAACATCCATGTTCTGACCTTAAACAGATCCCTTCTCCGAATGCGTTAGGCCCTGTTCGTAGCAGAACTCAAATGGAAAAAACAAAACGCTGCCGAAACCAATTCACATGCGATCATGCTGACATGGATTGCGAACGTTTAGAGTCCGTTTGCCATGACAGGTGCATCTTCATAGACATTAGGCCAACTGCATGTTCAAAGAATACTCGCCTGCTGATGTGAGAAGCGTGAGAACAGCTGAAAGCCGGAGAGCTTGTACATAAGACGGGCAAGAAAAGACCCAGGTCTCAGTTTAGGGTTTGTTCCTCGTCAACGAAGCTGTAGATCCGAGCACAACTGTGATTTTCTCCTCGCTGCATCCACTCATCCTGACATGACTGACTTGACTGGCGACTCTGAGGACTCGTCGCCAAGCATGCGGGGTCCTGACACACATAGATTAAAAGTTATCACAGGAGTCAGAGACAAGACGCATCGGAACGATTGATGTATGATGTGTCTGCAACGTCTCCTCGTGCGATGCCTTCTTCCACTCACGGTGTTGCCTGATCAAGGGGGATTATGAGGCTTTTGTAACGTTCCCGATTCCCGGGTTCTCCAACACAATCTCTGATTAGAGGCTACTAGTACCAGCACATGTATGTTCAAGCTTTAGTAGGGCGACAAGTACATACACGCCGCCCCAATAATGTTCCACTTTCGCTCCAACCCCAGTGCCAACCCTTAACCCTGATGCACCCTAATAAACCTTAAACCCAAAACCTCCTGCAAGCGAGGCCCCTGGAAAAAAACGCGGCTTGTCCAATGGGCCATGTTTGCCGTTCGCTTCCACGAGGCTTCCCTCTCCTCTTTGCTTCCTTGACTTCTTGTCTCCACCCTACCCAAGCTTCAGTGGGCAGCAAGCCGCGCGCTAATTCTTTGCACCTGTCCTCGTTCGACGATAGATTCGTTAAAGGGCCCTGCCAACATCTTACATTTACAGGGCTTGCCTCTCGACATTGCGATCGTATTGGATGAAGAGAGGGCTCCCGTCCAGGGCTTCAGACTTGCAACCCCTTGACTAGTGTATTCATGGTGTAATCTATGTTCAACCTGGCCAACGGATGGCACTCTTAAACAGCCATCTGGAGGTGCACCCACGACAGATGAAATGTATTGCACGGTCCTCGCCAATGAAAACTGGTGCCGCTACTTATTTTCTCAATCAACGCAGGCTTCCCCCCCTCCCCCCCCCCGCTTGTCAGCGCGTGATTGCTGCCTCGACAACAGAAGCGAGCGCCTGCTACTCACTAGACCCCTTCGCCCCGGGCACAAAGCCTCCAGCACCGGATCTTCGGCCTGTGCACGTGGGGTTTAGGGGTTGCGGAGGGGCTTAGGGGTTTCTAGGGGAGGATTTAAGGGGAGAGGAGAAGCAAGCTCGTCCCTCATCCCTGTGAAAAGCGCAGCCAAGCCGGTGAATCAGACTGGAGATAAGTCCGCCGAGGCCTCGGGCCGGAGGTGTATAGGTTGTCAGAACAGGCACCCCCCTCCAAATCCTCCCCCCACAAATCTTCCCTCCACACCGAAAGCCACTTTTTGGCCCCCTTTTTTTGCCTCAAATGGGAACCCCCTCTGGGAAACCGGGGTCCGCAAGCGGACGGTTCGCGAGGACCAGAGGCAGTTGAAGCCCCTCCCAGCAGCCCCCCCCACCCCCCCCCCCCCCCCCCCACCACCCCCCACCCACCCACACCCCCCCCCCCACCCCCGCCCCCCCCACCCCCCCCCCCCCAAGAGTGGGCCTGGCTCAACCCTACGATCAATCCAAGCCGAACCGTCTCTTGAACCCTAAACCCAAAAAAACCCTAAACCCCAAAGCATGAACCTTGAGCCCTAAGCCCTCAATCCTAAACTAAACCTCAACCCTAAACCCCAAACCATAAACCATAAACCCGGAACCCTAAACCCTAAACCCTAAACCCAACCCTTATTGCTTGGGTCCAGCGACTTGGGCGCTGCGGAATCACCATGCTCACGCGGATGCGCTGGGCCGGGCCGAGGCGGGTCGCGTAGCGTTAAAATTATTCAGAACTGTGGCTGGAAGCGTTCCTGAAATCTCACACCTGGGCTCAAGTCTGATGGGCAGTCCAAGCATGCCTGCGTTTTCCTCGCTTCATAAACTCTCTACTGGCCACGGGCTGTTTCTGAAGCTATCGAGCACCCTGCTGTCATTGTTTTTTCCTGGATGAACAACTAGGAACATGAACGCAAGGTTTCGTGACACAGTCGGGGCGCTTCCAAGATGACCCAGAATAGACATGATTGCAATAGTTCATTGCGTGACAATTCCGTCATGCTTCCGATTGTTTCCGAGATCAATGTACAGGCTCGCTCCAGAAGACTATGGGGCCGTTGCACACAATCAGCACCATCCGGCCATGCGATTCCGTTACTGACACGAAGCTGTTGCATTGAAAAGCGTACTACTCGTTAACATGTCTTTCAATCAAGTCTTGCTGTTAGCAACTGTGGGCACAGGACATGCAACAAGTTTCCACACAAGTTCAGCCGCGTTTGGGAACATGACACCGGCGAGTATCAGACAGCAGCCCAAGTTCTCCCGGTATCATGTCTGCTACCTACCGCTGGTTCTCCGGCCTCCACAGCATGCCTCTTGCTCTCGTTTGGCATCACCTTTGGCGGCTGACGAAAAGGTGACAGGTTCGGTGCTTTGATGAGGGTGCAGAACCAAGAGCCCAGAATACTAGCGGAGAAGCTTAATCTGTGGGCAAGCGGCTTGCTGCCCTGGAATTGCCAAAGGTTCGGGGTCCCAAGTGCTTCAACCGAGGTACTGACAGAGAATGGTGAGTACCCACAAACTGCATCTCCAGCTTGTGGATAACTCACCCAATCCGGACAAAGTCCCCCCTCAATTCTCTAGCAATCTCGGAACTCCGAAAGGACCCACAGAGAGGACGTAGTTCTTTTGAGTCGATCAACCTTCAGTCCTGTTGGAGTCATGTGTAAGATATTAGTGTAGAACCCAAACTCACCCGACGATGCGTTAAACATCCCCAAAGCCTTTTCAAGTTGCATAGGCAGGCTTCTACACATGCGGACATCGGATCAAGGCTGAGGTGGCAGGGCTTCGGAATGGAAGGTTCAGGTGTAGGCTTTGCGCCTCTGGGCTAGTGTCCATGACCGGAGCCTGAAGAGCTGTACGGATGCCCACCAACTTTGATGCCGCACTTGCGCCTTTTGCACTCGTGTCTTCCAGCTGTCCTAAAGTAAGGCTAGCATCTCAGAAGTGACCGAAATAGGCTTTCCTTCCTGCAAGGCCGGGATTTGCGCGTTCAGCTCCTGCACGCGGAAGGCATTCCAAATCTCAAGCTCTCTTTGCAAACAGGCTGCAGAAAAACCAACTGATTTGTATATTGTATAAGGTGACTGTTAGACTATGGGTTCTGTTTCAGCACTGCTTCAATCCTGTGCTGGTGGAAGCAAGGTTCACCACTGTTGCACACAAAACAACCATGTGGTGTGGAATTCAACTCTCTGGAACGACTGAGACTTTGGCAAGCTGACACAGTGGACTAAAAACCGGTTTTATGCCTTCAGCATCCTCAACCTTCATGACTGATGTCACTAGACTTCATTGATCATTGATGAGTCGTTCACATCAAAGAGCTCCGTGCGCCATGATGACCTCTGCGCCATGAAGCTGTCCACTTCTAAACCGTGAGTCGCTTGTGGGGCAGCGCACGCGTCCACATTGGACCCCTATGTTCAGTGAATGCGCTTTGTCCCGGCAGTCCTCCCACAGGCGGACTGCCAAGCTTGCGCAGCTGTCCGGGCGCAGTGCAAGCCCCGCGCTCATCACGAAAGGCATCACCAAGGCGGCGCGGTTGACCCAGGCCAGCCAAGCATGCCTCAACACTTTCCCTCTTACGGGGTGGAAGACTTGAGAGTTGGCGTCAAGAGTTCAGAACCCCCCAGCACACCCGCAGAAGAACCTCAACTCCAAGGTTTAGGTCTTTTTGATCTATGAGAGCGTCCAGCACCCTTGGCAGGTGGGTAAGAATTAGGCCGCGTTTCCGGTTTTTTCCAGTCAGGAAACGAGAACACCATACATCAATGGCCGCCAGCCCCCAATGTCAAAGTTTCAAGAAAATAAAAAACGTTCAAACCTATAAGCCCTGACGAAACTCTGAACACTAAAACCCGGTGTTCGGGCTTTGAAAGTTGTCAGAAGAACAAGTATGGATACCACATGTCTAGCATCATCGACGGACAAATGTAACCCTTGGCCGAAAAGCTTATCAAGGGCTTATCGCCGATGAAGGATACGGTTTCATGAGCCGGAGCTGGGACACAAGTGACAGGAAAAAGATGCCAGCGCGGAATGAGAAGCTCCGGACGTGCAGCTTACTTGTTGATAGCTTGTCAAGGGGCAAGCTGGCTTCTGTCAGGCGCATGTGGGTTAATCAAAAAGACAAACACCGCCCCAATGGCGTGGGGCCTCTTGACGTAGCATTGGTACAAAGCCCAGCTGAGATCTGCATGATCAAGAGCATACCCGCTCCAGCAGTGCATACACCGCCTGCGATGTGCGGAGCGTCCGCTGCGCCAACATGCCAGACGTGCCCAGCTCTTGCACGCGCCCCTTCGGATGCTGCGTCCTCACGCTTACCGGCCTTACCCACGCGGAACCTGCTTCATAGCAGACCTTATCGAGGGTTAAATACTGCTACAGGCCTCATTTATTGCCTCTCCTCGTACGCTTATCCCCCATAAGGCGAAAAAGCCTTGAGGCCTGGATGCTGATTGCACAACCCAGTGTGACTCGCTTGCTGTCCAGTGCTCTTCAGCTACCGGCCATGGCCAGCATGCACAATTCTCCACGGTCCGAAGTGTCACAATAGCCGAACCTCTTGTTTCCCGATTGAACTTAAAACAACGGCTCCCACTGCCAGCCAAGGGTGCTCTGAGGAGTACCTGAAGCCAACCGCTGCAATTGCAAGGCCTCGGCTCGTATCGAGTTTGATGATGGGAATGTGAAATATACAATACGAATCATCAATCAGCTTGTGTGAAGCAGACGACACACAAACTTTGCACTACACGCCCTAGATGTGAGAAAGTCCGGGTCCGTCAGACCTTGCTGCTCATGCGAAGCCCTCTTGTATGGAACTAGGGTTTTGAACTGCATGCAAAAAGACACATGAAGCAGCAGCTTTGAAGGGCATTGACCTGCACGGATCTGGCAGCGTGCTTTGGACGAAAAGCATGAACAGAGGTCGAGGAACCATGGCCACCCTATGGATGCAGTCAAAACGACTTTAAGTGCAAAACGTCTCTACAAGTAGGGTCACAGTGTGGCCAAGAAAGCTGAAGCCCGAAACCAAAACTCGGTTGCAAAATCTGTTTTCGACGATGTATGCGGCAGTCAATTCGCCGGTGTTTGTTTTGTCAATGCGGGGTTTCAAAGTCTCCAAGCTGCTGATGTCTCTCGGGTTCTCAACTTCTCCCAGGCTTGGAGAGTCGTACACATACTTATATATATATATATGTCATTTATTTATTTAGTTTACTTAGTATTTATATGTGCATGTGTAATATGTAATGTCATCTAACCTCATGTACTGTATGTACGCATATTAAAACAAACCACGAGCACTCCTGTTCTGGAAAAAACTGGCCCCAAAATTGACGCATGCGACTTTGTAGAGATTGCCCCGCGCCAGGCCTGGGGATGAGCGTAGGGCTGCGCCAAAATCTGAGCTTCATGGGGGGATCAGGGTTTAGGCTAGGTAGGGTTTACATATGCAGCATCATATGCACCAGAAACCAACAAAGCAAAAGTCACAGGAACATCAATACGAAATGGCCGGGCAGCGGTCGCAGCAGCCAAACTCAAGGTTATAGTGAGGCAGAGTTGCAGCGCTTGGGTTTGGTCTCTGATGGAGACGGCCTCGCGGGTCTAGGCTTAAGTGCTTCGGGATGCTTCGGGAGTTCGGATCAAAGGTCTGGCGTCTGCACACGATACTCACCCGTTTAACCATCTCAACGGTTTAGCAGAAGCCCAGTCGAATGAGGTGCGCGAATTGGCGAGTAATGCTAACTCGCGGATGATTGCTGTAGGTCAAGTCGATGCTAGTTAAAACCAAGTAACCATGTGGCTCAAGACGAATTGGAATCGGCATGCCTAGGCTCCCTTGCAACCGCAGCAAAGCCAAGGTACCGAGACCAGGGCCACTGCAGCGATCTTTAGGAGGATCTCCATCCACAAGTTGCGACACGCGGCCTCTTGTGTGTTTGAGTGCGGCAAAGGCTCACGAACTTGCAGCTCGTTTACTGAAAGCCGGGCGGTACACCCAACTCAGAAACCCTCAAGGGGCTCCTCTCAAACCACATGACATGCGAGCCGGGTCGCATATTTGAAAAGAAGGTCTCTAGCGCCAAATAACACTCCTTAGTGCCGCCACACCCTTCAGGGTTGCATCCCATCAGTGCTGAGGGTTTAGGTTGTGGGGCTGGGGATGTTGGGCCGATTTGGGGACACACAGCTGCTGACTGCTGTGCGCTTAGGAGTGTCACGGGCTTTAATATGCTTTAGCTGGAATAGATTCTACTCCTCTCTATACTATGTGGGCAGCCGGGACATGAGATCAGCGTCTGTCGGAAGTCCCGACTTCTTTGAGGATGCTCCGCTCCACGAGCATCTCCACGATGGAGCGGTAGAGGATAGAGCCTGAAAGGCATGCCCATGAGTTCTGGCGATATTCAGAAACTGGCCTTGGCCGTGTGGGCTTCAGGGGTTGTCTACGGGAGCCCCTGATTTAAATCCCCTCGACTCCGAGTGCTGCTGGACCCCTCTCCCCCCTCCTTGGGTAAGTTTTCGCTTCTTTTTGTTTCTTTCAACAGGCGCTTTTTGATTTGTGACATTGGATTTGGGCAGCAATTCCTTCCTTCAAGAAGCTTGGGAGAACAGTATGCATGTTAACCTAATGGTAAGAAAAAACATATCCAAGCAGGTGTCCTGTGTTGTGTCAATCCGTCTTTGAGCCCTGCAGGATGAACGGCTGCAGCAATCGCGCCTCACAGAATCTTCCATCAAGCCCTGAATCCTCCTTTTGACCTCTCCCCCATCTCACTGACGGGCTGCGGCTTTGCTTCAACGAAGAGTCGCCCTGGCGAAACCCAGGCGTTCATGCCGACAGCCCTTTTCAGACCCAGTGCCACCAGAATGTTCAAGATTCCTGCTACGTGGTGCTGCCCCGGGCTTCTGATGTGCTCATGGCTACAGTACAGGCTCCAGTAACACGCGTGCAAGTTGGGGCTGGAGCTTGCGATAGCAACGCTGCTGGGTGCCAGACATACCAGATGTTGATAGACAGGCGCAACACCATGCAGAAGAATCCGGTGGTTGAAAGAGAGCCGGACAGACGAAATCAACTCTGCCGGTCATGTGATTCGCGCATTTAGTAGGATTCTGACGAGCAAACCCATTCCGACAGCCCTCTCAACTCCAAACCCAAAGCCTTGTCCCGCAGGCCTAAATGGAACTCACACCCTTTGTCACAAAAAGCCGGCGCCACTTCGAGCTCGACCGCTCCAACATCGTCCTGGTCCTCCACCGGTTTTATGATCCTCGGAGCGTCTATGCTGCTTACCACCGTTGGCCATGCAACTTCCTTCATGACAATGGTGATACAGGTAATCAAGATAAGGAACACGAGGTCCATGCGGGTTGTGCAGCCGGTTACAAGCCGGTTACGAGAAGGGGCAGAAGCACCGAACATTTTACCTTTGTGGTGGCTACCCAGCTACCCCCTGGGATCTTCACAGCGATTGTCAGACATTCACGCGCTTGCATCACAGCCTCGCTGTTCCTTCATGCAGCTCCACGAGCATTCGTCCTCTTCGGAAGACGGACATGTACGCTGCCGATGCAGCGATCAATCGTCTTGCAAGCGCTTCGTCCTGCATCGTGCGGTTGCTTCGTAAGATGCTGCATGATGATCATCTGCGACGGATCACTCAAGAACGATCGGGAACAACGCTTCTTACTTCGAAAATGCACGCACCGGCTCGTGACAAGTACACGCTGAAGTGCAGCCAGCATCGAAACCAGCCGCAAAATCATGAACGTGATTTAAACTCCTTCAAGATGCCTAACCGCTGTCCTGAGCTGCAAGAAGTTGAAGCGTACTGGCAGACGCAAGCGCGCTGTGATACCTGAAGCTAGTCAGGAAAGTAAAAGGGCATTGCGCAAACTACAACACACAAAGATCCATAAGCATTTGCACAACACCAGGACCAAGGCACTCAATAGTGACGCTGCCATCACCCTTGGCCGTTGCGAACAGCAATCGACCGGACCGGAGGACGAAGTGCTGACGCGCATACATGTAGAGAAGAAAGCACGGGATCAAAATGGCATAGCACACCTTAGCTCTTCTGCTCCGAGATAGCTGAGCAAGCTGTGGAAACACATGGGCACAACACCGGGCGAGGTGAGCAAGAGATTCCCCCGAGACACCTTCACCATGCTTCGCCTCAAGGCGCTGCAAAGACAACTGGTTATCAGAAGGTTTAGTGTGCGTGATTGTGCGTGCGTGCGTGCGTGTGCGTGCGCGTGCGTGCGTGTGCGCGTGTGCGTGTGCGTGTGCGTGCGCGGGCGTGCGCGGGCGTGCGCGGGCGTGCGCGTGTGTGCGTGCGTGTGCGTGTGCGTGTGCGTGTGCGTGTGCGTGTGCGTGTGCGTGTGCGTGTGCGTGTGCGTGTGCGTGCGTGCGTGCGTGCCTGCGTAGGGGTGGATAGCTGCGTACACGTGGCGGGCATATCTCACATCAGGCCGCGAGAATACATATCCGCCGAGGCCCCAAGCCACCCCCATCAATGTCAATCTCCGTCACTTAACTTGCAACTCCGACGACATGTAGAAGCCTGCAAGAGGCCGACTTTGACTCAACACGAGATACTATACTCTGGCTGCGTTGCCCAATGTAGACGTCGACCGATGACAGCAAGGCCGACTTTGATAAATCACGAGATGTTTTTGGGGGAATGCAGTTCCCCAATGACGCCGATCGATGCGGATGAAGTGACTACTTGTAGGTAGGGCGCATACATGCGAGCATACCAAGACAATTAGCAGCGATGAAGGCAGGATCGTGGCATTACCACTGCAGCAGCATCAAGTGCGCGACGGATGGTGTCCGCAAAACACATGTGTTCGATGAACTATGGCTGGCAGCATACTTTGAAAAGAAATAGAATTTTCTCAGAACAGCGGTCATCTTCATTTCTTGTCCGTCGGATTGCGAGGAGCCAGTTCGGGGAATGACCTCCAATTTTAGCCCCGTCCGAGCCCAGCATTGAGCGCAATCCGGTATGGATGCTAGCGTTGTGACTGGCCTGTACAGTAGCACACCTGATGTATTGCATCATATGCGCTCAGACCCTAAACCCTTACCCCAGTTCTAGAGTCCCGAACCTTGCCGAAAGCACCCAGATTTCCCCTTGACCTTCAAGCCTGTGCCTGTGGTCACGCAGCTGTTCGCTTTACAATGCGCGAAGCAGCCGACACACGTGGAAACTCGACTCAGCACATTTCAGGGAACTAACGGAGGGACCCTTTTACGGGCCTTAGGGGTTCTTTGGGGCTGGTTTAGGATTACATAAGGTATATACAAGGATTATATAGGGGAATAACATTAAGCTAGGGGTCCCTCCTTATACCCCTTAAACTTACATTTACGCTTTTGCCTTGTCAGGCACACCGTGCATTCAGAGAGACATGTGTAGCTCTGCACTCGACACGCCCCATGAGTCCAGTTTGCCCCAGATCCCCCCCGAACCCAAAGCCGTAATGACGCCAGTGCGAGGATGGCGCCCCCATCCTCGTAACTATTCGCACTTTTGAGGCTTCAACACGAGGATGGCGCACTCGCGGTTGGGTCGCTTACTAGACCCTTGGGAACCCAACCCTTTAAAACGGGAACCCTTCTGCTACGCATTCGGGAAAACACCTATTAGCCACACATCTGGGTGAACAGCTACAGTGGGACCCCACGCTCTCTAGTGAGCGCGCTTCGTGTCCATGCTCAACGGTACGGCCAAAGGCCAAGGCGCACTGCACACCGAAAATACGGCCAGGATATCTGCAGCCTCAGTTATTCTGGAGGGAGGGGGGGGGGGGTGTTCGGGAATTTGTGGAGTTGCTGTCCGGAATAAAGAGTCCGATGCTTTGCTTGGCTTTCCTTGCTGAGGAACTCATCCATGGTGGCCCAACGTGGTCCACTATACAGTGCACCTATGAGCTCAAGCATGGACATGTCCAGTCTTTGAAAGACGATTCTATGGGGATCTATCTCATGGCAACGAGTCCATACCTTCGTCACGACTCGAGCTCTTCCAATTCAACATAAGTCCTATATACTTTGCACTTCATCAGCGCGAATCTAGCGCCTCATCTTGGCTTCGTGTGTGTACATTAGGGCCCTGCCTCCGCCCTTTTTGACATTTTGACAATCTCCCCATACTTGTTGGCAGTTAGCAAATCTTCGATCAGGAGATGCTTAGACTTGCCGGGTGGCATCGTGTGCATAGTGAATGCTCCGGCTGGATGCAAACCCTGACTGGCGAAGCCCTGACCACTGAACTCTAAGCTCTGAGTATATATACGGCTTGGAGAGACCCACGTTGTCGCTGACTCAAAAATGCGGACTCTTTTACGAGCAGAACCGTTGAGCCCAAAATACCCGTGACTTCGACTTGACTCGCTCAACCTACCCTGTACCTTTGGGGTCTCTGATGCGCCTCACATCCGAATGCATCGCCAAGCGGCTTCCAGTAGCTGGCTGCACCGCAAACTCGGGCGAAGGTGGGAGAAGGCCAAGCTCTCCAGTCTCTTCCCAGCTGAGCAGTTCCAACAATCGGGGTGGCTTAACGAACGTGAACTCTCACTCCCCTCTGTCAACCATAACCATCCCGCACACGCAGTTTGCTGATGGACATATTTGATATTGCGCATAGATCGAAATAACCAACCATGTTTGCATCACTTGAAGTGCAGCTCACAAGCCCCATGGGCCTCCATCGACCTCCTGGCACTTGATCAAGGCTGCACAAGAAGATGCTCCACCAATGAAAACCGCTGTGAGCACCTTCAGAAAGTATCGAATTCCTTGGCTACGCTCGGTTGCATAATTGCTCCCTCAATTCTTCCTATATCTCTGTCTTGGATGGCTATTTTCTTTGGGCTTGGCACCGCTCAAGCACATACCACGCGTACCACATCATGGGTCCAGTGTCCCACCCAAGTGGATCCTAAAGAAGAAACCCAAGTTCGAGCAACCCTCGTCTGAGTGCGAGCCAGATTCCCGTGCCACGGAGGGCGGTCTCCAAAAGCACGCAGCATCCCATCAAGAAGACCGGACAAACGGGCGCCATTAAGCCAGCGGCGAAACGAACATCTGCTCCGTGATAGCGACACTGAAGGTTCAGAGCATCTTTCAAGTCGCGGAGGGAGAGCTGCAAAAAGCGGATGTAGGGAAGCTCCGGTAAGGAAGGCGGCGCTTTTGGGACCTCTACCTCGTCCTCCATGAAAGAACTAAGAACGACCCAGAGCTGACAAAGCTGCAAAAGGATGGCTGCCTGAAACTGGAACTGTTGCGAAAGCACTTCAGGCAATCTCGTCCAGAGGGAGTATAACCCTGCCCCTGTTGCGAGCAATATGCAGCAAATTGCGGCATGAGCGAGAGGTGGTGAGGATGTCAAGCTAGTCCAAGTCACGACCCTACATGGCTTGCACTCTTTGCTGCTGGCGAAGAAATTCCTCCTGCATTGAGTGCACAATGGCCCTTCATGGCCTCAGCATGGGCTTCTCTAGTTTGGCTTTAAACTGGACACCGGCAAAAGAACAAACATTTGCGGAAAGCAGCAAGCATTCTCCCAAAAGACATGGGCTGAGACTCAGTAAAAGGAAGCAATGATTGGACAATTCTGTTCTTTCCCTGCCCATAGGACCTTGAGCACACCCAAGTCGAGATTGCGCTGATGCGTTGGAAGGCTCCTTCAAGCATTGCCGTGGATGCAGACACCTGTCGTCTGTTTGCAGGGCTCATGACGGGTATGATTTTTGATGCACAGCTTCCGATGCGGCCAGTTTCTATGTCGCTTCTGATTTACCATGGTTTCTGACTCGTATTTCTTATTCGCGACTGGAAGATAAATCACCTGATTCAGGCAGGTTCTTTGATTTGTTCACTGACCTTAAGTTAAAGACCAGTTGCTATCATAACTCAGCACCAAATTAGTGGAAAATCTACTCGTTGAGTCTTTGAGGACATTAAAACATCGGCAACTGGGAGAACGAAATTGCAGAAATTTCTTTGGTTTATCTTGCTTAAGAGGGTTCACATTTTGTGTCGATGTATGCTCTGAACCCCAGTTCCCACCAAGCTGAACATGTGAATAACTTAGACAGTTTGATTGATTGACATACTGGAAGGTGCAGTGTATTTCTCAAACTATGCGTATTCCTAGATGGCCGGTAATGTTGAACAATAATGAGAGACAGCTACTGGGACAACGGATTCGCTCGGCGCGCAGAGCTAAATTGCATCGGCTTTCACCGCCTTGATTCTATGGCGAAAAACTAGAGCATGATTGTGTAATGGTTCATTGTTCTTAAATGAACATTGGAACTAGCCCCTGAATCCAAGTCGGAATGCAAAGTGCACTGGCCACTTGACACTCTCATTGGCTTAAGCCTCCAATTATGTTTCTTGTCGACTTGGGACAGTCATGTATTCAAGACCACTATCCTAAAAGTTCTATTGTGGAATTTAATGACAAGCTGTTTCAGTTAGAGGCCAGTTCTTTGTCATAGCTCAAACTAGTGAGATGACTGGGGTGCAAATATGACTGAGTGAATGAGTGAATGAATGACTGAATGGATGGATGAATGAATGAATGAATGAATGGACGAACGAACGAGGGCCATGCAATTGGTTTGGATGATGCTGTTTCAAAAGGGCTTGGGCAGTACTGACGCTTCACTCTGCTCCTGACCCCACTCCTGCCTCACAGCAGACATTTAAGAGCGTACGAAAGGGCAAAAGGATGCTGAATCACCCAGGCGCTTGAAGGCTGCGCCTCTCCCTAAGCGTGCATATCCAGGATATGGCCGCGCGTTTGCCACCGTGGCATCTGCATGATCACAGTCCAGGTTGAGATCTTTGCAATTGACGCAGGTGCCTGGGCTAGTTTGCTGTAAACTTACTCCCAAGTTCACATGCTGGCACCGTCACCGAACTACCATTGAGAGACTACCTGGAAAAAGGTGGACATGCACCGCTCCTAAACCCTATATCCCCTAAGCATCCCTACTAGACCCTGTCTCTCAATGCCCCGGCCTGCCTCCAAGCAGTGCGAAACCAAGCTTGCAGCCGCAGGCATACCCTCCCCCCTGGGAGGTGCCAAGATCACCAAATCTGCAATGACATTCATGAGGTGATATAGCACCCTCGTAGACAGTGTAGCTATTGGCCGGGCACTGTTGGCAACTTTTGTTGAACCCGTCGCTGTAAAAATGGAGATTGCACTTTTGACACCGCCTGGTAGTTGCATTCCAGCTATCAAACCCCTCAATACATGCACACAATGTTGGAAAGAATCTTGATGGTGACACTTGCAGCGAGGAGGAAGTCACGCCAAAACACGCAAAGCCAGAAGCAACGTCTGCTTCTACCGTAGTGTTAGTTTGATGCAACTTGCTCACTGGCGAATCGCTAGTGAGCAACTCTTCTGCCTCCTCGTGGCTGCGAATGCTGGTGCTTCGCAAGTCGAGCGAAATGTCGTTTGCCACAGCTTCGCGGATCAATCCCGGAGCCAGCTCCAGCACTTCGGTGTTCGACGCTAATCGTAAGTCACGGCATGATGGCGGGAGGCCATCACAGCTCTGAATATGATTTTCAGACAGGCTGATCAGCTGCAGGGAATCTGCCAAAAAGCTTCGCCAGGATGTATAAGAAACTCCGTCCACAGTTCCTTTCATGCCAACCAGACTAGGTACTTTTCCGGTCAAGCCGCATCCGTCTGCAGCAAGACTTATCAGCCGCGTAGCTGCAAGCGGCAACAGCAAGTCTTCGACCCTCTTATTCAGCGGACTCTTGCTGACCTCCAGGGTTTGCAGGCAAGGTTCGTGACCCTCTTGTAACCAGAACACGAAAGTCCTAAACGACACAGAGCTTCCTGCTGTTTTCGGGGCCTCCAGGACCGTAATCGACGGCAGCATTGCATTTTTTGGGTCGCCAGGGTCGAGACTCCAAGCAGTATTCCAAGGTCCCAGTTGCACCATGGTCTCCTCACAAGGTGCTTTCAATATGTCTTCTACTGGAACAGCAACAACAAGTTCTAGCACCGACGACTCTCTGCAGCTGTGCCGCCGACAATTCCAAGATGCGAAGATCTTTGCAGGACCCGTGCCAACCATTGAACAGGACTCCCGTGACTTCGGTTCGTGACAGGTAAATCTCTTCAATGGACGTCCATTTCTTCAATATGTGAATGTCTCCGCTGACATGGGTTGAAGAAAGATCTGCTTTCCGAAGTTGTGACAGCGCATGCAGGTCAGAAATATCTCCCGTAATCTCGGAATTTGAGAGAACCAGCTCTTTCAAGTTCGTCGAGTTCGCCAAGGCAGACAGCTTTCCATGAACTTTGGTCATACCCAAGCTCAGAAGCTGCAGCTTGCGCTTTCCCGACAGGATGTCAATCGTTCCGGCAATAGTGGTGTTCGAGCAGTCCAGCCAATCGATATCCCAAGCAGCTTGAAAAGCTGCGACATTACCTTGCACGCGCAGCGATTTCAGGTTAACTGCTTGCACCCATCGCAATGATCGGAACACGGCAATGTCCCCCCATACCAAGGTTCCAGACAGCCAGGCTTCTCTCAACTTCACAGTGTGCTTCAGAATGCTGACATCTCCTTCCACAGCTGCTGATGAAAGGACCAAACATATCAGCTCACGTAGATGCTGCAGCACTGCGATGCTTCCAACGACTCCACTGCCTGACAGGTCCAGGATCTTCAGGTGTGCTGCGGACTTCGTTGCCAAAATGTCACCATGGACGTTGGTATTTGCCAGCCGAAGCTCCCTCAAGCCACTTAGATATCTAAGCACCCAAAGGCTTCCAGAGACGAAACTTCCTGACAAGTCGAGAGCCTGCAGCTTTGGCAAAAATCTTAACGACGAGATGTCGCCATTGACTCTGGTATTTGCCAGTCGGACCTCGGTCAATCCTCCACCTGCGCTCCCAAACATCGCCATGGAACCGTTCACCCTCGTGCCCGAGAGGTCCAAGGTCCGCAGTCTGGGATTGGCTGCTAGGATGTCCTCGAGCTCCCCGTTTATGTTGTGGCATCGCTCGAGCCGCAGCTGTCGCAGCCAGCTTTTGCCAGGCTTCCCGCTTATGGCATGAGGAGATGGTCGCCCTTTGACTTTGGTGAAAGAAAGGTCCACACTGCGCAGCTTACGAAATAACTGAATAGCGCCAACGCTTCCAGAGACATCCGTTCGGGAAAGGTTCAAAGTCTCGAGCCGAGACCATTTCATGGCCCAAAAGCCAATTTGGCCAGCGACGTCTGTGTCAGACAAGTCCACCTCACGGAGATTCTCGGCATGTTGGAGAGCAGAAATGTTTCCACGAATTTTTGTCATGGACAGCACCAAAGTCACCAAGGTGTGGACTTGAAGGTCATTCCAATCTTCAAGTCTCCCAGCGACTTTCGTTTCTTTTAGGTTGAGCTCCCTCAGCTCAATTGTCTCTATACGGCGCAACTCACCGTTCACATTGGTATGCGATAGATCAAGCACTTCAAGCACAGGTAAAGGACGACTGTCGCCTTCGCGGACATAATATCCGAAGAAACCGTCAAAGCTTCCTGACACCGCTGTGCGTGAGAGATGTAGCTCCCGCAGCCAAACAGCAGCGCGACCAAGGTGTGTGATGCTTCCTGTCACTTGAGTGAACGATAGGCAGAGCTTCTGCAAATTTGGTTCGTAGCCGTAGCCGAACCGCCGACGTGCATCATCAATGGCGGACTGGAAGCAGACCAGGTCTCCTGAAACGCGAGTGTCGCAAAGGTGCAGAGCCCGCAGCTCATACAAGCGTGCCATGTTGCAGATGCTGCCCTTGACCTTTGTGCTGTCCAAGTCTAACGATGTAATCGGGGACTTTTCCAAGCTCTTTGCCAAAGCCTCAACATCTCCAAAAATGCCTCCTGCATGAGAGAAGTTCAGCTGCAAGTACTTTGTCCCTTGCAAGTGTGCCACGCTTCCCGAGACCAAAGTGTGCCCCAGCAACACTTGTTGAAGCTCTTTTGCTCCCGCCAGTGCAGAAATATTGCCATGAACCTTCGTGTCAGAGAGGTCGATGGTGTGAATGGAACCCAACTTCAGGTCATTGATGCTACCTGAAACATTCGTAGACTTGAGGGACAGCACCTCCAGGTCGGCCCCACCTAGATTCTTCACGTCGCCCTGAAGCTGCGATCCTCGAATAGTCAGCCGCTTCAAGGCTGTAAGTTTCTTAAACTCCGTGGACAGCCGCGCCTCCTGCAGGGGGAGCTCTTTGGACGAGCAGCTTGGGGAAAAGGCTGCTCGCAACAGGGAAATGATGCGGGTCGCAAAGAGCCCTGAGATGTGGAGTCAGCCACTGACCGCACATGTGGCAACCGAAGTCTTCTATGGTGCTTCGATCTTCAGATCTACAAAACTAACATACCTTATTGCTCCTGATTCAATGACACATCGATCTCCGTGACGCGCTGGCATCTATTCTTCTCTGCGCATTTGATTCCCCGTGTGCCACATGCACCGTTGGACGACATCAGCCAGCCCAATCCCAATTCAAACATTACCGTGCCAGCGGCGTCTTCATCAGAAGTACCTCTTGCTGAGTCAGCTTGCTGTTTGGACTTTTGCCGCTCGACATGAAAATTGGAAAAGTTGGGACCCTTTGCAACACCCGACAGGGAACTCCAGGATTTCGGAAAACTGCCTATACCAAGAAAATTGCATATTCCAAGCAGCAACCCAAACGCTTGAGCTTGACAGCCCACTGTCTGGGCCTCCGCAGGTCCGGCGGGTTCCACCTTGGGCCTTGGCTTTCCACTTCCATTGATGGCATAGAAGAACAGACCGTAGAGTGTTGATGACAGTCAACAGGTGTAGTGTCCTGGCCTGTCTACTTCTGCTGCTCACAAACCGCAGGCCGGGAAACCACAAGCCGCAACAAGCCCCATCTGATCCACAAAGCAAAGCTGCGGGATGCCTGTCGTTCCACATTTTCATGCTGCGCACTTTCCTTCGCCAACGCCGTGTCCAGAAGAGAGAGTCCTGCACTTTGCTTCGGGCAGCAAGCGCCTAAACCACCCGACAAGTACAATCTCCAAGCACTGGGGAAGGCCTCCAACTGCAACCAACACCGCAGTCTCCGACGCTTAAGCCGAGACCAATCCCCCGCCACGCTTCCCTTTAGAATTCCTCGCTTGGCTTCTTTCAACAAGTCGTCCAAGCCTTTGTCCACTTCCTGAGCAGCCGCAGGCGAGGCATTCATCTACAGCAAGAATGTCATGCCCCAAAAAATATGAATGTTGCTCGAAACTGTTTCCCACCCGTCAGACCTTCACCACATCATATCAAACATCCCAAACACAGAATTCGTTGCATGCAGGCTTTCCTGGCTTCGGGAGACTCGGGGGAGCTACGTTCATGTGCCGTCTTCTTTTGCGCACAGCAGGTCTATCTTTGAGTCATGCCATCACACCACATGTGATTCCAAGAAATCTGGGCGGGCCAGTCCATGCAGCAGTGTGGAAGTCCTAGACCCTAGCGATTCGCAAAACAACGAGTCAGAGCAAGGGGAACCTCAGCGATTCAAACCTAGTCACCTCCAGCATTTGAGACAGAGCGTGAGATGTGGAATGATAATGAAGATGGAGTTTGAGACACCACCCACATCAAGATTGGCCAACAGACTGTATTCAGCAGCACAGGCACATGAACCCCACGCAACTGAAGTCAACTGATATTTTGCGGCTTTCACAGATGGCAAGCCAGTGGAAGCACGAACTGAAGGCTGGCCGTGAGTCATCTTCGACATCAGTCTCGCCCCGCTCTATTATGGATTGCTCAGCTGGACGATAAGCAGCAGCTGGAAGGAAGGTCCGAGCGAAACACAGCTGCAGCAATAAACCTTGCAGCGGTACCATTCACTGAACGAGGGTTTCCGTAGATTGCGGCTGCTAAAATTCTCATTGACTAGACGATGACGACACGGAAAAACCTCATTCTCTGGCAAGCAACCGCCCGCACCGAAATCCCAAAATACAGAGACTCTAAGAAGGCAGACTACGTAGTTTTTTGTCTCACGTCCCGCTTTCGAGCCGAGAGCCTGCGGAGCGGACAATGCCCTGGCTGCCAAGCAACCTAAAGTGGGTTACGAGTTGGAATGGCCCCCCTTATGCTAACAAACCTTAACAGGGATTATAGTAACCCCCCTACTATAGTCCCTATAAAGGATTGTTAGTCTAAGGGGGAACATCCCAAGTTACGAGCTGTAAACTATAGAAAAGCATGGCCGGTTAGCATTTGGCCAACCATGTGAATCCAGGCCTGGAGGGCATTTTCAACCAGTAGTGACAGGCACATGGTTTGCATGCCTACAGTTGTGCCACGCTGCCCATTCCTGAGGCCCACGCGCGCTCAGAAACACCGCGAGTGGGATCTGCGCAGTGAACCTCGCCATGCCCATGCCAGGCGGGGCTTCCCATCCCAGTGGATGCCCCGCTAAGGTTTTCAATGTGGCCGGAACAGGGACACAAAATACAACAGCTCCGCGTCGGACCGGATAGCCTTGCAAGCGCAAGGCGCATGATGCTCAAATGGTTACCTGGCGCTGCCCGGTGGGCAGCTCGGCTCATAGCAGAGTCTAGTCTAGGCTCGTTTCCAGTTTTTGGTTGCCTGGGATCTTGCGATTTGTTCAAGCTGCTTCCCTTCTAGCTGCCCTGAGCCCTGCAACCTGTTCTTCACCCCATTGCGTTGAAGGTTGTGTGCCACGGATTGTGGAGCTTTACCACCTGGCGGCCTTAGGGCCTCTAGAGGACAACTGTTCCCCGTTTACTGTTGCATCTGTCACCTCAATTGCCCTGCTCTGAATCTCAGCACTTAGCCAAGAGAGCGAAGCGCTCACAGCAAGAGTTTCTACAACGAAGGTGTCAAAGAAACAAGAAAACAATTCCTGCTGGAATCCCGCCCTAAGAGCGCCACCGGCTCTAGGTGGATCGTAGAACTGGACGCCTGGAAACCTGCATGGTCGTTCAGCAGTTGAGTGCCACAGATCCTGGAAAGTTAGAATGGACATGTTAAATGGGTGTCTGACGAGTAGTAGAAGGGGGAACTTACTTGAACTAGCCACCAACCACGAGCATCCCTCAAACCCGAAATCTTGTCAACCTCAACCCCCTTACCGAACACCATCGGCTTCATGCCATGTTTGCTCTTCAGCCAGTGCTATGATTCGCTCTGCACGAGCACATGTTGCGAGAAAAATGAGCAGAAAGCAGGAAGAATACCATTGTCATCCAATATACCGTGAGCATCCCACTCTACGACGCTTTTTCACGTCTCCTATCTGGCCACTCTGGCTTGCCAAAAAGGATGACATGCTTATGCCGACAGAGGGCACCACGAGCCATGAAATCAGCTGCGAGAAGCTCTCAATGACTCAGTGGCCCAACTGCATCGAAACGTTCAGGGCTCAGACTTTTCCAGGGTTTCTCAGGGCTTGCAGGGAGAGCTAAAAGTTTAGGGTTGAGCCCGCAATACACGCCCAAAAAACATCAACAAAAACCTTCGAGCCCTTCTAAAACTGACATGTGGTGGCCCCACGGGCTTCGCCTGACTCTCTTAAAAGCAGAGGGAAACCCCCAACCCCAACCCCCCGACCACACCACGGGGGGGACGACATCACGGGGCAATAGATGCATAAAAATGAATACATATATATGTATATATACATATAGATATACTAAACACCTTGCTTATAAATTGGAGCATAAGGCTGCGTTCCGCGCCTGTCAGACACCACCAAAGACACTGTGGCAGGGATCATCGTCAGGATGGTGGCCACATGCCAGAGTCAGAGCGACCTGCGCTGTTGAGGGATCCTCTTGGGATCCTAAACGTCCTAAACCATAAGTGCTAACCCGAAACCCTAAAACCTAATCAGACCGGAGGGCAACTGATTTAGGCTCCGTCACTAACGACCTTGCTGGGCAGGAACCAGGTTGTTGATGTTTGGTAAATTTCTGGTTCCTACAGCGATTTTCCGGTTAGGATTGTAAATTAGGTTCCGAGTTCCGGGTTTCAAGGACCCTTGCAGTGCCTTTGCAGGGCAAGGGCCCCCCCCCCCCCCCCCCCACACGACGCACACGCACAGATAGAGAGAGAGAGAGAGACGACCCCACCCCCCACCCACCCCTCCACCCACCCCACCCACCCACACACACACACGCACGAACACGCACCACCACTCAGCCACGCACACACACACACACACACACCCACACACACCACACAACACCCACCCACCCACCCACCCACCCACACCACACACACACACACACACACACACACACAGACCACACAGACACACACCAGACACACAGACACACAGACACACAGACAGACAGACACACAAGACACACAGACACACAGACACACAGACACACACAGACACACAGACACACAGACACACAGACACACAGACACACAGACACACAGACACACAGACACACAGACACACAGACACACAGACACACAGACACACAGACACACAGCCACACAGACACACAGACACACAGACACACAGACACACAGACACACAGACACACAGACACACAGACACATACACACACACACCACACACCACACACCACACACCACACACCACACACCACACACCACACACCACACACCACACACCACACACCACACACCACACACAACACACCACACACCACACACCACACACCACACACCACACACCACACACCACACACCACACACCACACACCACACACCACACACCACACACCACACACCACACACACACACCACACACACACACACACCACGCACACACACACACACCGCACACACACACACACACACACACACACACACACACACACACACACACACACACACACACACACACACACACACACACACACACACACACACACACACACACACACACACACACACACACACGCGCGCACCCTAAACCTCATAAACCCAAATTGTGAAATTCTGAACCCAAATTCTGAACCCTTAAACTCCTGTCACCCCGCAACCCCGGCCTGATACTGCTAGATGTGCTAATGGCCCAATGGCATGCGGCTCTATACCTCGGTTAGGTTGCCTCTAGGTTTATAGGCTTACGGTTCAGCTCACAGCGTACCCAGGGCCCCAGCGAGTCCCATACGCCTTACAGCAATTGGCCACGGAATCGACCTTCACTTGTGTCCTGCCACATGCTTGACCTTGCATTTATCGTTTTGGATCTTCCGAGGTTGGGGTTTCGGGTTTGATATAGGGTGTAGGGCTTCATGAACAGTTTGGGATTTGGTTTAGGGTTTTCCGGGTCTCACGCAGGCCTCCATCTTCTTGACTGCCCTCCGCCCAAATGCAGGAGGAGCCCTCGCAGTTCTCCTTTCATTCGCAAGCAGACCTTTTGCCTTCACGCCTCAACCGCATAAGAGTCCCCCTTCTCTCTTATCTTTCTTCTTCTCTCTTTCTTCTTCTCTCTCTTCTCCTCTCTCTTCTCCTCCCTTACCAATTCTTCTTCTCGCTTCTTCTTCTTGCATCTTCTCTCTTCATGTATCTTCTTCTTTTTTCTCTTTCTTCGTCTCTCTTCTTCTTTCCTCTTTTTTCTCGTCTCTCTTCCTCTTTCTTCTCTTTCTTCGTCTCTTCCTTTTTCTTCTCTTTCTGCCTGCTGGGGTTGAGGGCTTAGGGATTAGGGCGGAGGGGGTAGAGCCACAGCCAAGCATTGCTTCAGAGGCTCAGAAAAGTCGTCGGCCCCCAGCGGAAGCCAGCAGGACAGGGCGAAAAGCGAGCATGGCAAGTGCCAATGGACCATGGTCTATAGGCTTGCGGGCTAATAGGGGCCGGCCGATGGGTTTAGGGCTTTTAGGGTTGTTAGAGGTTAACGCGGGGGGTGGGGGGGTCTCTAAATCGGGTGGCGGTTTGATTTGATTCCAAGGACGCCTACTACAAATGCCATACCAAGAATAACCGCGACTACCAGGATGGGCTATTAGGCCTTACAATCCCCAAGGGATTACAGGGTAAAAATAGCCCATCCTGGTATAGCCACCTGACGCGACGTGGTACAAGCCCCATTGACGCGGGAGCTGCGGCAGTTGGCACTAGCCGGCAGTTGCAGTGGCAGCGGTCCTACAGTAAAAATAGTAGACGTAGCCACAGTCTGGCAGCAGTGTCTTACCATCGACACCCTTGCACGGAGCCTGTTTGTCATCATGAACGCCAACAGCGCCCTTGCACTGTTGCAGTGGCCTTCAGATGTCACTCGGCTCCGCATGGCATTGATGCTTATAGCAATGCCTGCAGTCTCCAACTGCGTCGCTTCGCCACGATTTTCGCAGGCCGCAGCTTCACGCTGGCGTGCTGTCTCTGTGGATGCACGGCGTCTGGGCTGCGGGAGCTTTAACGTGCTGTACAACAGGGGCGAGCTTGACATAAAGGATGCTTACATGACTGAATTCTTAGTTCGTAGGGCATGGTGCTTCATGACCATTCTCAGTATGTGCACGAACGTCATCTTGCATGTCGAAGACCTATGCAAGGGGCCACGCAGTGCTCAGGCGAATCCAAGAATCTGCTTCATGGCCGTGTAAGTGCCGAAGACAAAGAGGAAGATGCCCAGAGCCAGGAAGGCCAGGGTCAGGAGGATCTCTTTAGTGAACCACGAGAAGCCCTTCGTGTCCCTGCGACGGAGCGCCAGGATCCACAAGGGTGGCACGATGAAGGAGATGTAAGCTGAGGCGAAGGCTCCGATGAAGTCCAGCATCTCCTTCAGACTTGTGATGACCACAGCCACCAGCACCACCAAGGCCACAGAGGCGAGGGCACAGAAGATGTCGTACCACCGCGTCGCGGACCGGCCGTAGACCACCACATCCGTCGCCTCGGCGTCGGCGTCGCGCCCCCGGACCTTCCGTACGGCATAGGCCAGGAACTGCCGCACGGGGTAGATGTGAAACTGGAAGCAAGTGAGTACGCTGTACATCACCGAGGCCAAAGAGATGACCACCAAGACTTGCTTCCTCACGGGCATCAGGTCCAAAATCAAGGAGTCCTTCTGACCCTCTGCCACGCCAAAAGCCAAGACTCCCAGGATGGACACGGTGGCGTACAGCACGAAGCTGAAGCCAGAGCTCAGCAAGGCCACACGCATCATCCGCTTCACCGACGGCTCGGGTGTGATTTCTCCAGTGAGCTGTGGCACATTGAACTGGTTGTTGTAGGCGAAGACCATATTGTTGATGGCGCCCATGTAGCTCAGCATCGTAGCGTGGCCGGGGCCAAAAAGGAAGGTCTCCGGCGTGATGCTCTCGTTGATGCCGGACTGGCCCAGGTAGCTTCCCACCACGATCACCAGAAACGCCAAAGCAGCTACACTGAGGGCCGCCAGGTGCCGCATGAAGCCGATATCTCGGGCGAGGGCCATGGGACAGCACACGAAGATCCCCACCAACACCACAAAGATGTTGCGCGCATGCTGGTCCGCGTCGAAGATCACCACGAAGACCTGGCCGCAAACGATGAGGTATCCCGCCGCAGCACCAAGGCAGTTGCAGGTGTTCATGAAGCCCGTGATGAAGGACATGGAAGGGTGGAAGAGGCTCTCACAAAGATCCTCGAAGCTCCACGACTTGGTCTCCACGGAAGCCACGGAGATCATACGGATGCTTGCCACAGTCAGCACTGCACCGATCAGCAGACAGCCCAGCTGGTAGACGGCACCGACTTCGGCGGCATGTACGGAAATGGACAAAATACCAGCGCCAATGCCTGCTTTGCTCAAGCAGATGGCCGACGGCAACACGCCTCCCGGGCGGAAGAGACCCGCCAAGCCAGATGTCCTTTCGCTGCCTTTGCCTGAACCCTGCTCCGCCGGAAGCTTCTCGGGCTCTGACAGCCCATCTTCCGTGGAGGCCGTCTCCAAGTCCACGCGGTCCGCCGGAACCGCAAGCTTAGAGGCCATGGCCAAAGCTATGACTGTTTGCATCTCAATGTTGTCATGAATACCAATTATTGCCAATTATGCAAAGAATACTTCATCTCGAGAGGTAACCATCGTTAGCAAATAGTGAGGCAGCAGAGTTTGGGTGCCGTAGGAGTTGGAGACAAGTTGCACTGAAACCACAAGCTGAGAAGTCATGGCCCACAAAGGTCTGACTGTCTCACTACAATCGCTTTGGGTGGTGGAAGCTGTCGTCCCGGGCACAGAATGCTGTGGTATCCTCAACATAAAAAAACTCCTTACCGGAAGTTGGCGTCTCAAGAGGCAACCATAGTTAGCAACAGTATGTGCTGTAGGAGTAGGACTAAGAGGAGTAGGAGTAGGAGGCAACAGCAACAGTGGCAGTAGCAATAGCGGTCGTACTAATCTACATTTGCTATTGCGGTTGAATCAGTAGCAGTCGAAGGAACAGCCGCAACGGCAGCAGCAGCGGCAGCCGCAGAGTAGTCCCAGCAATGGAACGAGCATGCGTAGCCGCAGTAGGTGTAGCAGATACCATTGGCAGAAGGTGAAACTGGAGCTTGCAGTGGCCGCGGTCCTAATAGCAGTAGTCGTGGCCACACTCGTGAAGATGGCGATGTAGTCCGATGTCGTAGCAGTAGGCGTGGCAGCAGCACCGCAGTATCGTACCATCGACACCCCTGCACGCAGCCTGTTTGTCATCACGAATGCCAACAGCGCCCTTGCACTGTTGCAGTGACGTAAGGATTGGGAGCGGGCCTTCAGATGTCGGCTCCGCATGGCATTGATTCTTATAGCAATGCCCGCAGTCTCCAACTGCTTCGCTTCGCCAAGATTTTCGCAGGCCGCAGCTTCACGCTGGCGTGCTGTCACTGTGGATGCACGGCGTCTGGGCTGCGGGAGCTTTCACGTGCTGTACAACAGGGGCGAGCTTGACATAAAGGCCTCATGAGGCCGTGGGGTTTGCAGATGTTTACATGACTGAATTCGTAGTTCGTAGGGCATGGTGCTTCATGACCATTCTATGGCAGTATGTGCACGAACGTCATCTTGCATGTCGAAGACCTAGGCAAGGGGCCACGCAGTGCTCAGGCGAATCCAAGAATCTGCTTCATGGCCGTGTAAGTGCCGAAGACAAAGAGGAAGATGCCCAGAGCCAGGAAGGCCAGGGTCAGGAGGATCTCTCTAGTGAACCAGGAGAAGCCCTTCGTGTCCCTGCGACGGAGCGCCAGGATCCACAAGGGTGGCACGATGAAGGAGATGTAAGCTGAGGCGAAGGCTCCGATGAAGTCCAGCATCTCCTTCAGACTTGTGATGACCACAGCCACCAGCACCACCAAGGCCACAGAGGCGAGGGCACAGAAGATGTCGTACCACCGCGTCGCGGACCGGCCGTAGACCATCACATCCGTCGCCTCGGCGTCGGCGTCGCGCCCCCGGACCTTCCGTACGGCATAGGCCAGGAACTGCCGCACGGGGTAGATGTGAAACTGGAAGCAAGTGAGTACGCTGTACATCACCGAGGCCAAAGAGATGACCACCAAGACTTGCTTCCTCACGGGCATCAGGTCCAAAATCAAGGAGTCCTTCTGACCCTCTGCCACGCCAAAAGCCAAGACTCCCAGGATGGACACGGTGGCGTACAGCACGAAGCTGAGGCCAGAGCTCAGCAGGGCCACACGCATCATCCGCTTCACCGACGGCTCGGGTGTGATTTCTCCAGTGAGCTGTGGCACATTGAACTGGTTGTTGTAGGCGAAGACCATATTGTTGATGGCGCCCATGTAGCTCAGCATCGTAGCGTGGCCGGGGCCAAAAAGGAAGGTCTCTGGCGTGATGCTCTCGTTGATGCCGGACTGGCCCAGGTAGCTTCCCACCACGATCACCAGAAACGCCAAAGCAGCTACACTGAGGGCCGCCAGGTGCCGCATGAAGCCGATATCTCGGGCGAGGGCCATGGGACAGCACACGAAGATCCCCACCAACACCACAAAGATGTTGCGCGCATGCTGATCCGCGTCGAAGATCACCACGAAGACCTGGCCGCAAACGATGAGGTATCCCGCCGCAGCACCAAGGCAGTTGCAGGTGTTCATGAAGCCCGTGATGAAGGACATGGAAGGGTGGAAGAGGCTCTCACAAAGATCCTCGAAGCTCCACGACTTGGTCTCCACGGAAGCCACGGAGATCATACGGATGCTTGCCACAGTCAGCACTGCACCGATCAGCAGACAGCCCAGCTGGTAGACGGCACCGACTTCGGCGGCATGTACGGAAATGGACAGAATGCCAGCGCCAATGCCTGCTTTGCTCAAGCAGATGGCCGACGGCAACACGCCTCCCGGGCGGAAGAGACCCGCCAAGCCAGATGTCCTTTCGCTGCCTTTGCCTGAACCCTGCTCCGCCGGAATCTTCTCGGGCTCTGACAGCCCGTCTTCCGTGGAGGCCGTCTCCAAGTCCACATGCTCCACTGGAACCGCAAGCTTAGAAGCCATGGCCCACAAAGGTCTCACTGTCTCACTGGAATCGCTTTGGGTGGTGGAAGCTGTCGTCTCGAGCACAGAATGCTGTGGTATGCTCCATATAAACAGAATCCTTACCGGAAGTTGCCGTCTCAACAGGCAACATAGTTCGCAATAGTATGTGCAGTAGGAGTAGGAAGACTAAGAAGAGGAGCAGGAGTAGGAGCAACAGTAACAGTAGCAGTAGCAGTAGCAGTAGCAATAGCAGCCGTACTAATCTGCATGTAAAATTGCTATTGCGGTTGAATCAGTAGCAGTAGGAACAGCCGCAGCGGCAGCTGCAGAGTAGTCCCAGCAATGGAACGAGCATACGTAGCCGTGATAAGTGTAGCAGATACCATTGCCAGTAGGTGAAGCCGGAGCTGCGGCAGTACAGTAGCATGGCAGCAGAATCGTACCATCGACACCCCTGCACGGAGCCTGTTTGTCATCACGAACGCCAACAGCGCCCTTGCACTGTTGCTGTTGCAGTGACGCAAGGATTGGGAGCGGGCCTTCAGATGTCGGCTCCGCATCTCTCGGCATTGATGCTTATAGCAACGCCCGCAGTCTCCAACTGCTTCGCTTCGCCAAGATTTTCGCAGGCCGCAGCTTCACGCTGGCGTGCTGTCTCTGTGGATGCACGGCGTCTGGGCTGCGGGAGCTTTCACGTGCTGTACAACAGGGGCGAGCTTGACATAAAGGCCTCATGGGGCCGTGGGTTTGCAGATGTTTACATGACTGAATTCGTAGTTCGTAGGGCATGGTGCTTCATGACCATTCTATGGCAGTATGTGCACGAACGTCATCTTGCATGTCGGAGACCTATGCAAGGGGCCACGCAGCGCTCAGGCGAATCCAAGAATCTGCTTCATGGCCGTGTAAGTGCCGAAGACAAAGAGGAAGATGCCCAGAGCCAGGAAGGCCAGGGTCAGGAGGATCTCTTTAGTGAACCAGGAGAAGCCCTTCGTGTCCCTGCGACGGAGCGCCAGGATCCACAAGGGTGGCACGATGAAGGAGATGTAAGCCGAGGCGAAGGCTCCGATGAAGTCCAGCATCTCCTTCAGACTTGTGATGACCACAGCCACCAGCACCACCAAGGCCACAGAGGCGAGGGCACAGAAGATGTCGTACCACCGCGTCGCGGACCGGCCGTAGACCACCACATCCGTCGCCTCGGCGTCGGCGTCGCGCCCCCGGACCTTCCGTACGGCATAGGCCAGGAACTGCCGCACGGGGTAGATGTGAAACTGGAAGCAAGTGAGTACGCTGTACATCACCGAGGCCAAAGAGATGACCACCAAGACTTGCTTCCTCACGGGCATCAGGTCCAAAATCAAGGAGTCCTTCTGACCCTCTGCCACGCCAAAAGCCAAGACTCCCAGGATGGACACGGTGGCGTACAGCACGAAGCTGAGGCCAGAGCTCAGCAAGGCCACACGCATCATCCGCTTCACCGACGGCTCGGGTGTGATTTCTCCAGTGAGCTGTGGCACATTGAACTGGTTGTTGTAGGCGAAGACCATATTGTTGATGGCGCCCATGTAGCTCAGCATCGTAGCGTGGCCGGGGCCAAAAAGGAAGGTCTCCGGCGTGATGCTCTCGTTGATGCCGGATTGGCCCAGGTAGCTTCCCACCACGATCACCAGAAACGCCAAAGCAGCTACGCTGAGGGCCGCCAAGTGCCGCATGAAGCCGATATCTCGGGCGAGGGCCATGGGACAGCACACGAAGATCCCCACCAACACCACGAAGATGTTGCGCGCATGCTGGTCCGCGTCGAAGATCACCACGAAGACCTGGCCGCAAACGATGAGGTATCCCGCCGCAGCACCAAGGCAGTTGCAGGTGTTCATGAAGCCCGTGATGAAGGACATGGAAGGGTGGAAGAGGCTCTCACAAAGATCCTCGAAGCTCCACGACTTGGTCTCCACGGAAGCCACGGAGATCATACGGATGCTTGCCACAGTCAGCACTGCACCGATCAGCAGACAGCCCAGCTGGTAGACGGCACCGACTTCGGCGGCATGTACGGAAATGGACAAAATGCCAGCGCCAATGCCTGCTTTGCTCAAGCAGATGGCCGACGGCAACACGCCTCCCGGGCGGAAGAGACCCGCCAAGCCAGATGTCCTTTCGCTGCCTTTGCCTGAACCCTGCTCCGCCGGAATCTTCTCTGGCTCTGACAGCCCATCTTCCGTGGAGGCCGTCTCCAAGTCCACATGCTCCACTGGAACCGCAAGCTTAGAAGCCATGGCCCACAAAGGTCTCACTGTCTCACTGGAATCGCTTTGGGTGGTGAAACCTTTCTTCTCGAGCACAGAATGCTGTGGTATGCTCCATGTAAACAGAATCCTTACCGTGCGAACTATGTGCAGTAGGAGTAGGAAGACTAGGAGGAGGAGGAGGAGGAGGAGGAGGAGTAGGAGTAGGAGTAGAAGGCATAGGCGAAGCTGGAGCTTCGACAATACTCTAGCAGTAGCCAGCAGTTGCAGTGGCAGCGGTCCAAATGGCAGTAGTCGTGGCCACACTCGTGAAGATGGCGATGTAGTCCGATGTAGTAGCAGTAGGCGTGGCAGCAGCACCGCAGTATCGTACCATCGACAGCCCTGCACGCAGCCTGTTTGTCATCACGAACGCCAACAGCGCCCTTGCACTGTTGCAGTGACGTAAGGATTGGGAGCGGGCCTTCAGATGTCGGCTCCGCATGGCATTGATGCTTATAGCAATGCCTGCAGTCTCCAACTGCGTCGCTTCGCCAAGATTTTCGCAGGCCGCAGCTTCACGCTGGCGTGCTGTCTCTGTGGATGCACGGCGTCTGGGCTGCGGGAGCTTTAACGTGCTGTACAACAGGGGCGAGCTTGACATAAAGGCCTCATGAGGCCGTGGGTTTGCAGATGCTTACATGACTGAATTCGTAGTTCGTAGGGCATGGTGCTTCATGACCATCCTCAGTATGTGCACGAACGTCATCTTGCATGTCGAAGACCTATGCAAGGGGCCACGCAGTGCTCAGGCGAATCCAAGAATCTGCTTCATGGCCGTGTAAGTGCCGAAGACAAAGAGGAAGATGCCCAGAGCCAGGAAGGCCAGGGTCAGGAGGATCTCTCTAGTGAACCAGGAGAAGCCCTTCGTGTCCCTGCGACGGAGCGCCAGGATCCACAAGGGTGGCACGATGAAGGAGATGTAAGCTGAGGCGAAGGCTCCGATGAAGTCCAGCATCTCCTTCAGACTTGTGATGACCACAGCCACCAGCACCACCAAGGCCACAGAGGCGAGGGCACAGAAGATGTCGTACCACCGCGTCGCGGACCGGCCGTAGACCACCACATCCGTCGCCTCGGCGTCGGCGTCGCGCCCCCGGACCTTCCGTACGGCATAGGCCAGGAACTGCCGCACGGGGTAGATGTGAAACTGGAAGCAAGTGAGTACGCTGTACATCACCGAGGCCAAAGAGATGACCACCAAGACTTGCTTCCTCACGGGCATCAGGTCCAAAATCAAGGAGTCCTTCTGACCCTCTGCCACGCCAAAAGCCAAGACTCCCAGGATGGACACGGTGGCGTACAGCACGAAGCTGAGGCCAGAGCTCAGCAGGGCCACACGCATCATCCGCTTCACCGACGGCTCCGGTGTGATTTCTCCAGTGAGCTGTGGCACATTGAACTGGTTGTTGTAAGCGAAGACCATATTGTTGATGGCCCCCATGTAGCTCAGCATCGTAGCGTGGCCGGGGCCAAAAAGGAAGGTCTCTGGCGTGATGCTCTCGTTGATGCCGGACTGGCCCAGGTAACTTCCCACCACGATCACCAGAAACGCCAAGGCAGCTACACTGAGGGCCGCCAGGTGCCGCATGAAGCCGATATCTCGGGCGAGGGCCATGGGACAGCACACGAAGATCCCCACCAAGACCACGAAGATGTTGCGCGCATGCTGGTCCGCGTCGAAGATCACCACGAAGACCTGGCCGCAAACGATGAGGTATCCCGCCGCAGCACCAAGGCAGTTGCAGGTGTTCATGAAGCCCGTGATGAAGGACATCGAAGGGTGGAAGAGGCTCTCACAAAGATCCTCGAAGCTCCACGACTTGGTCTCCACGGAAGCCACGGAGATCATACGGATGCTTGCCACAGTCAGCACTGCACCGATCAGCAGACAGCCCAGCTGGTAGACGGCACCGACTTCGGCGGCATGTACGGAAATGGACAAAATGCCAGCGCCAATGCCTGCTTTGCTCAAGCAGATGGCCGACGGCAACACGCCTCCCGGGCGGAAGAGACCCGCCAAGCCAGATGTCCTTTCGCTGCCTTTGCCTGAACCCTGCTCCGCCGGAATCTTCTCGGGCTCTGACAGCCCATCTTCCGTGGAGGCCGTCTCCAAGTCCACATGCTCCACTGGAACCGCAAGCTTAGAAGCCATGGCCCACAAAGGTCTCACTGTCTCACTGGAATCGCTTTGGGTGGTGGAAGCTGTCGTCTCGAGCACAGAATGCTGTGGTATGCTCCATAAAAACAGAATCCTTACCGGAAGTTGCCGTCTCAAGAGTCGACCATAGTTCGCAATAGTATGTGCAGTAGCAGGAGAACTAGGAGGAGCAGGAAGAGGAGTAGAAGGCAATAGGTGAAGCGGGAGCTGCGACAATACTCTAGCAGTAGCCAGCAGTTGCAGTGGCAGCGGTCCAAATGGCAGTAGTCGTGGCCACACTCGTGAAGATGGCGATGTAGTCCGATGTAGGAGCAGTAGGCGTGGCAGCAGCACCGCAGCATCGTACCATCGACACCCCTGCACGCAGCCTGTTTGTCATCACGAACGCCAACAGCGCCCTTGCACTGTTGCTGTTGCAGTGACGTAAGGATTGGGAGCGGGCCTTCAGATGTCGGCTCCGCATGGCATTGATGCTTATAGCAATGCCTGCAGTCTCCAACTGCTTCGCCAAGATTTTCGCAGGCCGCAGCTTCACGCTGGCGTGCTGTCTCTGTGGATGCACGGCGTCTGGGCTGCGGGAGCTTTAACATGCTGTACAACAGGGGCGAGCTTGACATAAAGGCCTCATGAGGCCGTGGGTTTGCAGATGCTTACATGACTGAATTCGTAGTTCGTAGGGCATGGTGCTTCATGACCATTCTCAGTATGTGCACGAACGTCATCTTGCATGTCGAAGACCTATGCAAGGGGCCACGCAGTGCTCAGGCGAATCCAAGAATCTGCTTCATGGCCGTGTAAGTGCCGAAGACAAAGAGGAAGATGCCCAGAGCCAGGAAGGCCAGGGTCAGGAGGATCTCTCTAGTGAACCAGGAGAAGCCCTTCGTGTCCCTGCGACGGAGCGCCAGGATCCACAAGGGTGGCACGATGAAGGAGATGTAAGCCGAGGCGAAGGCTCCGATGAAGTCCAGCATCTCCTTCAGACTTGTGATGACCACAGCCACCAGCACCACCAAGGCCACAGAGGCGAGGGCACAGAAGATGTCGTACCACCGGGTCGCGGACCGGCCGTAGACCACCACATCCGTCGCCTCGGCGTCGGCCTCGCGGCCCCGGACCTTCCGTACGGCATAGGCCAGGAACTGCCGCACGGGGTAGATGTGAAACTGGAAGCAAGTGAGTACGCTGTACATCACCGAGGCCAAAGAGATGACCACCAAGACTTGCTTCCTCACGGGCATCAGGTCCAAAATCAAGGAGTCCTTCTGACCCTCTGCCACGCCAAAAGCCAAGACTCCCAGGATGGACACGGTGGCGTACAGCACGAAGCTGAGGCCAGAGCTCAGCAAGGCCACACGCATCATCCGCTTCACCGACGGCTCCGGTGTGATTTCTCCAGTGAGCTGTGGCACATTGAACTGGTTGTTGTAGGCGAAGACCATATTGTTGATGGCCCCCATGTAGCTCAGCATCGTAGCGTGGCCGGGGCCAAAAAGGAAGGTCTCCGGCGTGATGCTCTCGTTGATGCCGGACTGGCCCAGGTAGCTTCCCACCACGATCACCAGAAACGCCAAAGCAGCTACGCTCAGGGCCGCCAGGTGCCGCATGAAGCCGATATCTCGGGCGAGGGCCATGGGACAGCACACGAAGATCCCCACCAAGACCACGAAGATGTTGCGCGCATGCTGGTCCGCGTCGAAGATCACCACGAAGACCTGGCCGCAAACGATGAGGTATCCCGCCGCAGCACCAAGGCAGTTGCAGGTGTTCATGAAGCCCGTGATGAAGGACATCGAAGGGTGGAAGAGGCTCTCACAAAGATCCTCGAAGCTCCACGACTTGGTCTCTACGGAAGCCACGGAGATCATACGGATGCTTGCCACAGTCAGCACTGCACCGATCAGCAGACAGCCCAGCTGGTAGACGGCACCGACTTCGGCGGCATGTACGGAAATGGACAAAATGCCAGCGCCAATGCCTGCTTTGCTCAAGCAGATGGCCGACGGCAACACGCCTCCCGGGCGGAAGAGACCCGCCAAGCCAGATGTCCTTTCGCTGCCTTTGCCTGAACCCTGCTCCGCCGGAATCTTCTCGGGCTCTGACAGCCCATCTTCCGTGGAGGCCGTCTCCAAGTCCACATGCTCCACTGGAACCGCAAGCTTAGAAGCCATGGCCCACAAAGGTCTCACTGTCTCACTGGAATCGCTTTGGGTGGTGGAAGCTGTCGTCTCGAGCACAGAATGCTGTGGCATGCTCCATATAAACACAATCCTTACCGGAAGTTGCCGTGCTTCCCTGTGGCCCGCGATTCTTACTTGCTCCGAAATCCCAACCCTGCCAAGCACGAGACCTCTTGCACCACCAAAGTTATACGACTGCATGGATGGCTCGGAAAGGTCTCGGATGGACAAAGTGACGAGACATGCAAGAAAATGTAGGCTCTTGAGGGTCAAGTAATTAAGGTATTTGCGCATCTGCATTCCGACCCCAGGCACTGCAACTTCATTGTATAACTTATGATGAAGCTTCCTGGGGTGCATTGATTGACTAAAGCTGCGAGATGCACTTGTCTTCGTAGGGTCGCCCAATTCTCAGACACACGGCATGGGGGTCGGGGAGGGTGTTCGCAAGTCCATCTGCTCGGCTTCTTCTACATTAGTCACGACATCGCTGCTCAAAGCATAGCAATGGCCAGCATTGGAATCATGCACTTGCGGTCCAACAGAGTGACTGGAGCAAGGTAAACAGAGCATCGAGAGCAAGAGGAGCCGTTGGAGTGGGCTATTATGTCAGACATCCCCAGAATCAAGCCTGCAAAGGGGCCATTTTTACGGGGTTTATGGGGCAGAATAGCCCATCCTGGTAAGTTGGTGCGTTAAGGGAGTGGTTACGCGCGGTTGCGTGACTGAGTGGCGTGAAGTGCCGCGAGTCAGCACGCTGCATGATTTTGAGCAGTTTATCAAATGAGGAGGCGTAGCTAGTGAGTCGAATGAATTGGCGAGTGCTTGCGAGCGACTGCCACATGAATCACAACATAAGTTGAGTGAGTGAGTGAGTGAGCGAGTGAGTGAGTGAGTGTTTCATATTATGTCTTATGTCCACAGCAGAGCTCCACTAGTCACTTTGCAAGATCTGCCGCCTCGACCTCGTTCATGATTACGCATTGGGATGTTCGACGCAACGTCCAAGAGCAAGAGAAACCAGGGGAGTGAGCAATCGAGAAAGAGAGAAAGAAAGCGAGCGAGAGAGAGAGAGAGATGAAAAAAAAGAGACAAAAATAAGTAAAAAAACACATAAAGAAAGAAAGCAAAGAACAGAAAGAAAGAAAGAAAGCAAAGAGGAGGACAGCGAGATCCAGAGAAAACAAGGACCGATGAAAACACGACTTGGCTGCACACGTCACGCGCCGCCCGTGCAAACCAGACCTCGACAGGCTAGAATTGCAAAGAGACCTGAACCTTAAACCCTAAACCCTAAACCCTAAACCCTAAAACCATGCTCTGGGTGCAGGATCTAAAGGCTTGAAAGCTTAGGGTTTAGTTTCTGGAGTTTGGGGTTCAGGCTGCACTACCCAAGCTGCAAGTTGTAAAGCCCAAACCCTACATGCACCGAGATCCTTGATGCCTGTGGCCTGTGCTACATGGGTGGTTGTCAAGATTATGATCCCTTTTGGGGTGCCCTGAAGAATAGGTGCCGTATTATAATAGTGATCCAAAAAGGGACCATAATTTTTGACAACCACCCACATGCAAGCTTTATCAGGCTTTGCACACCTTCGGGCCCCGACTGCAGTTCCTGCTGCTCTGAAAACCCTCAACTCTAAACCCGAGGCCCTAAGCCATAAACTCTAGAACATCCTAATACCTAATCCCCATCTTCCCCACCATCAACCTCCCCCTCGTTGCAATCCCTTATACCCCTGCGTTCACTGGGGTTTACGGTTTACTCGGCATGGCGCCTTGGGCGCCATTGCCCTCTTCCAAGTCCGTCCACCCTAAACCCTAAACCCTAAACCCTAACCCCTAAACCCTAAACCCCTAAACCCTAACTCCTTGCCAGAGAGGCGGCAGCACATCCCAAGCTCCGTGGCCTGCGGAAGACGTCACCCAACACATACACGGTTAAGGGTTTAGGGTTTAGGGTTTAGGGTTTAGGGTTTAGGGTTTAGGGTTTAGGGTTTAGGGTTTAGGGTTTAGGGTTTAGGGATGTTAAAAACGGAACCTTATATACACTCACCATAAACAGTAATATAAACCCTGTTTCATATTCGATCGGGGAGACCCGGAAGGAGAGGGGACAGAGGCTGCAAGGCAGAGGTCAGTGAGCAGATTAGAGTTAGAATGTTTCGTTTCAGCCCAACAAAGAGGCCAAACAACTCCTAATTACAGACATCCCCCGTTCTGATGCTCTTGCAGCCATTCCTTGGAGCCAAAGAGGTGGCTTTCGGAGAAGAGCTCGAGAATCTGTTTTCTCTATCGCATTGGCTGAGCCTCCAGGCCTCTCCCTGTGAAAAAGCGCATGGGCCGGTACCACCAGCGCCAGCACTCTGGCCCTTCAAAGGCCGGGTGAGCCTCCTATCGCCTCCTTATAAGGACCTAAAAACCGGAGACCCTCATGCTGAGAGGCATGACTGCTGGAAGTCCTGGAACTCCTCTTCGGTGAAGAGTGCCCTCTTGATGCCGTCACGAGCAAGGCACATCTGCTTCAGCTCGTCCTTCAACGCCCTCGCCTTGGCCCTGGCCTCGTCACACTCAGCTCCAACGGTGGCGCCCTGGTGCAAGGCCTGTAGCTTGGAAGCCCCTGGGATGGTCATCGCAAACATCGTCTCTGCAACGTCCGCGAAGCCCGAAGCATCGCAGCTCATGGTCACGAGGCCTTCGCCCTTGTCCACCGCACCCCGTAGGTATGGAGAGCCAAGGTCCACCTTCAGCAGGGAAGCGAGGAGCTCCCGGCTCTTCTCCTTAAGGTAGCCCTTATTAAATTTATTAAGCTAGCCCAGTAATCATCTTACAATAAGGACACCCCATTATCCCCATTTCTGGGTGGGTGTCCCGAGTTGGCTACTTCATAAGGGAACCTTGAAGGAAAAAATGAAAAAGAGCACCGCTGGGCCACCATGTCTCCTTCAACTCCTGCACAGCCTTTTCAAAGAGCTCGCGGCAGGCTTTCATGACCTGCTTGGTGAAGTCCTTGTACTGGCACAGCTGGATAAACTCTGTGTCCCTCATGACTTTCCGGACCACGGCTCGGGGCTGGCCCTTCGTGCGCATACGGGTTCTGACGGTGTCCACGACCTTCGCAATGAAGCCGTCTGTGGCCGGGACGCTCTCGTCCAGGGTGATCTCTGCCAGCAGCATCTTTTCCAGCGAGGGCACAAAGTGGCTGAAGACCTCCCAGGAGGAAGAAGCTCAGCGGGTCGGGAGATGGAGGACTAGGAAGGAGGAACATGGGCTCAGGATCTCAAGTCAAGCGGGGATTCGGGGGCCTTTTGGCCCTCACTAGTAGGGCCTGTTCTAAAAGGAGCGGCCTTTCCCGTGGCTTCTGCGAAGATGTTCTCGAGGTCTTGGCGCGCCTGCTGCAGCGAGTTGGCCAGCTGGCCGGGGCTGCACGACAGCCCATCGAGCTCTGCGAGGCGCGCCCGGAGTTCGGCCGAAAAGTCCGCGAGGATCGTGGACAGGAAGGCTGAGTACAACTGCCCCACTGGCAACTTGGGGCTGTCTTTGAAGCGGTGCTCCACCTCCTTCTTCGCCAAACGTGTCTTCTTCTGCTCCTCCACCACCCCCAACTGCTTGAACTCGAATTCCTTCTCGTCCAACTTGTTAAGGACCTTGGTCATCGCAGCCGTCTTCCAGGTGTTCTGAAGGTAGGAGCAGTAGGCCTTCTCCAAGTGCTGAGCCAGACAGCCCATCCCTGCCACATCTTTCTCCAACAGGCGCTTCAAGTGCTCGTCGCCTTGTTGGAAGAACTCCAGTTCGTTGCCGTGCTGCACAAAGAGTCGCTCAAAATTGTGGACTACCAGATGCTTCTCCTGTGGAGGCTTGAGCATGCAGGCCACCCAGCTCTTGAGGCTGATGCGCCCCAGTGACTCTGGCGAGTCTTCATCGGATGTGCTCTCGTTCAGGACGAGGGCACGCAAGACTTGCGAGTCGGCGCACTGATCCACTTTAGAGAACACGCCGATGGTGCGCTCTTCCAGCATGTGATTCTGGACGATCCTCATGGCCATGTTGGTGCTTGGGCGAACATCACCGGAGGCCGGAACCACGGCCAGGAACATGTCGTGGCAGCCACGGGCCTCGTCGTAGGCCAGCTGCTGGTCGATGATCCTCGAGATCTCCTTCTCCTTGTCGGCAGGAGACCCGACGATTCCGGGCAAATCCACGAGATCAATGCTCGGTACGGCAGGGTGCTTGATCTCCACCACCAGGAACTTGTCGGCCACGATGCCCTGCACTCCGTTCTCCTCGCTCAAGCGCATCATCTCCTCCTGCACGATCAGCCAGCCATTCTCCTGCGGGATTTCCTTAGGCGCGGCTTCTGCTACTTCCTTTCCATCTTGCATCTTGTAGACTGATAGGAAGGCCTGGCTCACCTCCGGCGTGCGCCGAAGCCTTACATGCACCGCCAGGCGCGTGCAGAAGCGCCGCTTTCGGGGAAAGATTGGGATGTTGGCCAGCTGTTCCAGGATTGTGGACTTGCCGGTGCTCTCATCGCCAAGGACGATGATTCTTGGTGGAGTCCATCCTTCCAGGACCTCCTGCAGCAAGTCTCGCATGGGATCCAGTTCCAGGAAGAATTTGCTCATGGCCTCCGCCATGCTGGAAACGGGGGCATGGGTGGAGAGCCTCCAGTCTCTTCGAGGCCTCTTATGTGGGCGCTCCGGGCGATCGCCTGCATCACCGGCGCTTGCAGAGCCAGAAGCGGCCGGGCCCATGGACAGCGTCCGGGTCTCAGGATCCTGAAGGCCATGCGATGGCCACTCGATGACGCCCTCAAGACGCTCGGTGCCGCTCTCGTCCTGGTGGGCCGCCGTGTACCTGTCAATGGCCGACTTCAGGTCCTTGTTGGGCTGGAGTGTGCTCCCCATCCTCTTACCCGTCTGAGGGGACGTGCCCTTCTTTTCTACCAGGATCCACTTCTCGATGCTGCTCCGCTCATAGTTGAAGTTGTCTTCGGCGGTCACCGGGTCCTTCATCAGCTCCTTGGTGAAGGGGCAAAGGAAGTCGGCCAGCTGCGGCTGCGAAGCCCCCTGTCGCCACACCTGCTGCGTGAACCATCCCCAAGACCGAGCGAGGCCGGACATCTTCCAACCAACTTGCGAGTTGCACGTTCGAGCTGGCAACGGCTAACTGAGAGGAACAGGACACCGGGTAACCGCCCTAAAGCCTAAACCAGTACCCTAAACCAGTACCCTGAACTAAACCCTACAAACCCTACAAACCCTACCAACCCTACCAACCCTACCAACCCTACCAACCCTACCAACCCTACCAACCCTACAAACCCTACAAACCCTACAGACCCTGAACCTACTTCAACACGCACATGGGGGGATTCCGAAAATGAGGTACCCTTTTTTTGGGGTTCCTCCAAAAAGGATTCTAAAGCAATATGGCATTTGGGGGTATAGTGGTACTGCTATTTCCGGACATCCCTACATGAATCCAGAGCATCCCGAAGCCCGCTTCGGAGCACCGGCCTCGCGTTGGGCGCTGTGTCGATTTCCCGCTTTCCACCCATGGGGGCCTTGTCCGCACATACTGGATTTCTACCCGGCACCAGAAATATCATTGCTGTTACGATTATGTTTTGTTGAGATTATGATTGTTACTATTCTACTCTGTACCGGATATACTATTGTTGACTCAAATATTAGGATGATGGTTATTAGTATTCCTATTGCTATTGCTATTGCTATTGCTATTGCCATTGCTATTACTATTACGATTATTCTTGCTGGTGCTTGTAGTATTACTACTAGTATTATTCTTATTATATATTTGTGTATACTGTATATACATATATATATGTGTGTATATTATTACGTCTAGATGCCTGAGCCGGACATGTGACATGTTGTGTCCAATAAGACCTCAATAACGAACTGGAGACGCTCTGGAGTGCAAAAAAGGTACGCTCTTTCGAGACAAAGAATTTTTTGTTTCGAGGGTAGGCTCGTTCCTCTCTTCCTCTCTCCTTCTCTCTCTGTACGTGCGTGCGTGCGTGGGTGCGTGTGGGTGCGTGTGGGTGCGAATCCCTTTGGGGCTCGCAAGTTTACTGTTCTGGGGCTATAGGGAATAAAACAAACCCGAAAATCCAAAACCTAAGCCTACAACCATGAACTCAGCGCAGGACGGCGGCTGAACGAGCACTCGAAGGCGCTGCCGGCGCCCGTTTTCGCTGCCCGAGGGCACGCGAACCTGCTTGGGGTGTAAGGCTTGTGTAAGGTTTAGGCTTTGGGGCTTATTACAAGGTTCAGGGTTTACAGGTTCTATAGGGCTTGTAGGGTTTATAGGGCTTCCATAGGGTTTAGGGTTCTTTTTGCCACAACATGTAGGGTTCACAGGGCTTTGGCATGCTTCGGATTCTCGCAGACTCTCCCTGCTTCGAGTTTTTAGGACCTTGGGGATGCTTAAGGTTTAGGGTTTAGGGTTTAGGGTTTAGGGTTTAGGGTTTGGGGTTTAGGGTTTAGGGCTTAGGGCTTAGGGTAGGATGGCCCTTTAGAAAACCCTCTGAAACGTATTCCGGAAGATGATCCTCTTCAAACCAAAAAGGGAGAATCAGAAATCTCCCAAGGGCCTACCCTACCACCCCCCTACGACCCCATCTAGGTTCCCCCCTTAAATAACGTTAATTAGGCTTAATTATCCCTAAATAGCCTTAACTAGGGGAGCCTAGGGGGGGGGGGGGTAGTATAGAGGGGGGTCGTATACAGAAGAGCCCCTGATAGACTCAAGGGCGACGGGCTTGATGCTTTTGGCTTTGGCATGGTGGCAGCGGCCCGCGAATCACCAACACCATGAGGGGCATTTGCTGCTACAATTAAAGATCTCGCTCCGTGAAAAACCCTGAACCTCCTAAACCCTAAACTTGAACCCTAAACCCTACCCCCTAAACCCTCTAAACCCTAACAACCTAAAACCTGTGCTGGCCCCAACGTCAAGGACTGAGACCCAGGGAGCAGGCGTGCTCCAGCGGCTCTGTGCAAAGTCGATGGCCCGGAGCATAGCAGACCTTGGGTGCAGACGTGAAGTGTTGTTTCGGGTTTAGGGATATTCGGGCAGTTCTCTACATTTAGGGTCCGTTCTTTGGGGATCCTTATCTTCAGGGTGCCGTACTATGATACAGGGAAGCCCATAAGGGGCCCGAATTCAGAGACTTACCCTTGTCGGCAAAAAAAAAGTACCGCTTCAAGCCTTCAACATGCCAGCAGGACCTGGTGTGCTATGAAGGGTACTTCTACACAGTGATTCAGGACATGGTAGAGCGAGTAAGGTATAATGCGACGAACTGTAAGGAAAGCCCACAGCGGTTGAAGCTAAACTAGTCTTTAAGTCGTCAATCCTGCTCGGGTCTTCATCGAGCGATCTTAGACATGCCAGGCGAGGCACACCGGATCCAAACGACTCCAGTCTCTTTTCGTGCACCATCCGTGCCAATGTGCCCGCAAGTCTTGTGGTCGGTTGGGCTGGCCCAAACTGCACATGTACACCAAAGGGAAAATCGAGGGCCATCGAGAGGCCATCGAGCCTACACCCCCAATGACAAGAAACGTTCAATCATATCACGGCGCACAGCTCGGAGCTTCTCCAAGACGCAACACAAAGCAAACACACAAGCTTCCGCATCAGAGATCACAATGTTCAAGGCTACCACACTGCCACCTCAAGCTGCAAGCGCCGCGCTGAAAATTACCTGGGAACCGGATGAAGCGGCACTCAGTAGACCTCCACGTGGTAGCGATCCGCCTTCTTCATGGCCTTGGCGAACTCGGCCCAGTCCTTGCCAGCCTTCTCCGCGATGGGGCCGAAGCACTCGGCCATGCCGGACTCCATACCTAGTTCATGGTTTAGGGTTCATGGTTTATAGGGCTTAGGGTTTAGGTTTTAAGTACCCTTAAACATGTAAAATGGTACCCAACTATGACAAGGATACCCTTCAAGCCGCACATGTAGACGTGGGTCTTCTCATCCTGCATGAGCTCCCAGAGTTCATCCGCGTACTCGGCCATCTTGGTCTGAATGTACATCTTCTGGCCTGCTGCGTTCTTCTGCTCGCGGCTGATGGCGTAGTCGTAGCGGAACTGATCTGGGTAGCTCTTCGTGTACGCCTGGTGCTCATCGTCGTACAACAAGGACTTGGAGTAGGGCACGCCCATGAAGAGCCAAGCAAGGCCCTTGAACTTGCGGCCATCAGAGCCTGCTCCAGCATCGTCGTGGAAGAGGAGGCGGCAGTAAGAGCGCATGGGCGCAATGCCGGTGCCTGTGGCCAGCATGATGATGTTGGCTTCCGGGTCCTCTGGCAGGAGCATCTCAGCACCGGTAGGGCCGGTGATCATCACGTCATCCCCTGGGCTCAGGTCGCAGATGTGGTTCGAGCAGACGCCGCGGTACACCTTGTTGTCGGGGTAGGCCGTGCCCGCCTTGTCCGGCTTGTCCTCTCCCTTCTCACGGTTGGCATACTGGCCATCAACCTCCACAACACGCTTCACCTGGGGTAGGTTTGGGGGGGGGGGCCCTATAAACACTAAATTGTTACGGCTTTAAAAAGGATTATATAGGGAATAAGCGCAACAAAAGTGAAAAAGTATGTTCCAACCTACCCATGTCACGCACAGGGATACGGTCTTGGAGTTCTGGTTGTCACCAACAGCCGATGAGGCGATGGAATACAATCGAATCCTTGCCGGTGTCTCGCCCTTCTTGTCGGGTCCTGGGGCGATGACGCCGATGGATTGTCCCTCAATGTATGGCACCTTGCCACCGTGGTCGAAGGTCACGTGGGTGGTTTCCCAATTCGCATCCCCGGTCTCTTCGGTGAGGGTCTGTGGGTGCACGTCGTTCTCAATGACCTTGCCCGGGTAAGGAGCTTTTGGGGTGAAGAGGTTCCACGGGATCTCCTTGCCATGGACCACCTTCACGCCCTTCTTCTTCACGGCCGCCGCTCGGCAAGCTGTGGCTTCGGACCTCCTGCTCACAGCAGCTGCGGCCGCCACGCACGCAACGGCCCCAGCCAGGGGAGCCGCCGCGGAACCCCGCTGTGACTGAGGTGGCGCACCGCGCAGCTGCGCGGGGGCGGAAGGGGCCGCGCTTGGCGCACCCGGCGCCAGGAACGCGTAGCCGCCGAGCAACGCTGCGGCACCGAGGGTTGCTGCCTGTGCCATGCTGTCTAAGCTCCCCTTTGACGGTTTTGGATTCGACGTCTACTGAGCTGGTAGCTTGGGCCGTGCGGTTTCGAATCGTTTCGGGTTTCGGGCCAATTTGGGGATGAAGTCTCCAAGGGAGGCGGATGTTGATGGATGTGTATCGGCCATGACGCCTCATTGCTTGCAAGAAGATAAGATGCGACTGATTTAAGGGTCAGCGCGGCTTCTGACTCCAACCCAGAATTACTGAACCCAAAGCCCTATAAACCCTTCAAACCTTAGAGACCCTAAACCGTATACCCTAAAGCCCACAAGGGCAGTGTCAAGCCCAGCCGCTCACTGGACATCCCGGTAGATCGTTCTCGGGGATGCCGTCGCCCTGGTCCGGAGCCCAAAAAACCGAGGGCCTAACGGGTTTAATGGGGGTCTGGGGTTAGAATTATAAAGCCGAACCCTAAACCCTACTAAACCCTAAACACTCATGTCCGTCGACATCTAAAAAAGAAGTCGGTCTTCTCCCTTTAGAGCATCACCTAAAACATCGGTGTCTGCACTCTTTTTGGGGGGGATTCGTGCCGTCCTAGTTGCTATCTGTTTGGGCGCATGGGTGTGCGGCTTACGGTTGCGCCCTAGCCATGCGAGCCGGTGGCTTTCGAGGGTCGAACCGTAACCCCAAACATCCCCAAATCCCAGGCGCTAAAGCCTGTAAGAGTTCTGCAGAGGGCGGGGCCCTCAAAAGGCCGCTGGAAGAGGCCCACACATGCTCGGATGCCCACTCTTGGGTCCGTGGACAGCCCTTGAAGTGATCCGAGTGCCCGGAGCACAACTTGTGTACACCGGTGGGCCAACGCGTGCCACGCTTCCCAGGTTGCACCACTGTTGCACATGATTGCGCGTGTGAGCATCTGCCTTGGCGAGCCGATGACCTCCTGCTGCTGTTGCTGCTCAAGACAGCATTTGTGAGTACCATCATCAAGCTCAGTTCTTTGCTCAGCAAGTCGCGACCACCTGCAGAAGCAGGATGTATGGCCTCGCACAGGTTCATGGCACGGATGCTCGGAGGACGGGGTTTGACAGACCAATGCCAGGGGACGTCTGAGCGGCTTGCAGAACATTCATATCGTGTAGACTGAAGCTGTGAGAAGTAGCAGACCATGGATGATCGCTACTGGAATGTTCGCATCCATTGTTGTGTGCATCCAGCAGGGAGCCCATGTGAGCGTGCGCATTCAATCTCACGTCACGAAAGGTTCGCGAATTCAAGATGCCTCGCACGCGACAGAACACAAGCCCTTTGGCTTCTGCTCCACACGCTACTAGGCGCTAATCGGACATCCACCCGACCGAGCCTTGGAATGAAGCCACGTCAGCCCATGCGAGGGGACCTGGTCCACCTGATGCCACAGGTGAAGCTAAAACAAGTTGGCCGTGGACAGTTGCGAGTATCCTGATATTTGCAAAACCTGGGTTTCCCTTCCTGGATAGGGCAACTGCTTCCGCACGCTATGACCGCAGACTGATGAGATCCTCTTTTCAAGCAAAGGCATCACAAGGTTTCCGACAATCAGAGCCAACAAATACCTGAACCAGCGCTCGCCGTGCCCAGGCTCCATTGAGAAAAGTGTGATGCATTGCCAGCCTCCATTGGCATTCCTCCTGGTTCAGGACATGAACCCCATGCATCTCAGTGCAACATCGCTCATGCCTTGTGCCGGAACGGCAGAGTATCTGGAAGGAACATGCAGCGGCCTTATGCACTGCGTGACCGCTGATAGAAGCATGCGAAAAAGAAGGAAAGATGCGAGAGACACAGGAATCTCAGGAGTTGAAGGACCTTCTGAAACCCTAAGCCGCAAGGACTGTCTTGCGGGAATATCATTCCATCTCAAAGCCAATCGACCTTACTCAGCTCAGCTAACCTCCCCTCAGCCTCCCTTCTGAACATCCCGGCCATGGCAATCATGGGATCAAGCATTGGGGTCTTAGGGTTTAAGTAGTTTAGGGTCATGTCGAGGGTCTGGTCTGGAGAAGGCCTTGGTCTGGGAAGGAGTTTCCGGCCCTGAAAGTGGGAAGGGGGTGGCGGGTTTGCATAAGAACGCCCCAAAAATGTTCACATTCTTCCTTACAAGGGCAATATAGGGATTACTACTTTTTCGGGGGGGGGGGGGGGGGGTGCCCTAGGAAAAATAGAGGAGGAGAAGCGCACGGGATCGGGAAGGCCTCCTCTCCAGAGCGTGTTGACGGTCTCAACGATAAAGGATGCTGACCTGCCAACAACAGTCCCAATCATTCAGACATAGGCACGCCTCACACAGACGGGTACAAACCAGTACGGGACAAGCTCCGTGACAGCGCTGAACCTTGGACCGGGATGGACTGGGTGCATGCGCAGAATACTTTCACGCTTCTGATCTGCGGGAGTTGTGAACCGTGAGCTGAGCCGGATAAACTTCCTCCGAACTGGACGCGAACCCGAACGAAAGCACCGCTCTTGAACACGCTTGAACTAAGGCCAACTTGTTACCTTCCCCTCCTTCACCCTGCGGCCCGTCCTCCCCTTCCACTCACCTCCCCTGAACTGAACGATCTGCTGAAGAGATGGTCCTGCCGAACCGATGCATGTGCAAAGTGCTCGACGTCCATGGCTCGCATCCCGAAGCCCTAAACTGCCATGTTCCAATCAAGTTCTAAGGGGCCTAGGGCTTAGGTTTGAAGGGCTAGGGGTTCTAGGGTGGGTGTTGTAGCTAGGGGCTTAGGGGTTTAGGGGGTTTAGGGTGTTTGGGGCGCTGAGGGACGGATTGACAGAGCAGCGATATATCGCAGAAAGCTGCACAGATGTCGAAAATCAATCTGCTGCGGGTTGTGGGTCGTCCTGCTACAAACAACCTATGGTGAATCAATACTAGTAGCGGTCTTTGAAAATCTGGTTCGCAGCATATGTGCTGAAAGCCAACGAAGAGCACAGGGCAAAGTCAGTCTGCCCATGCTGGGATGCATCTGATGTCTGTTTTTGTTGAATTGGTCATGGAAGTTACGGGTCTGCCATTAGCCCCTGGGCAACGTATTTTGAGCTCCCTGTCATTTTTCCTACATCTGGGGGTTTCCGAGGTTAGGCGTCCTTCTTATATGGGAATCCTGCTATTCTACTATGGGCTGAAGAACCCCCCAAAAAAACAATAATCCCAAAATCACCCTTAGAAGGGAGAATATGTTCATTTCTTGCAAAAACCTCTGAAGCAATTAGTAACATTTGGGGGTCTATCTTTTGGCCATTTTTGTTGACCCCTTCCTTTTGCTAGCCGGTGCCCCTTGGATCCTTGCAGCCCTGGGCAGACTCCATTTTGGGGTCGGGGACATCCCCACGTGCCAAATGCTTGGCCTACATGGGTTTAGGGTTTAGGGTTTAGGGTTTAGGGTTTAGGGTTTATGGTTTAGGGTTCCGGGGCTGTGCAAGGCCACAAATTTCTTTGGTGTGCTGAGGCGCCCCCAAGCACCCATGCGTAACCAGCTTGAGCAAGAATGGAACAAGGTGGACTTTGTGAGCTGCTGATGCGGGTCCCTCGGCACTGCGTGGGAGAAGCACATTGCCCCGCAGGGAGTAGCCGGGCGTATTCCCCTTGCTAATCCGAACAACTGTAGTAGCGGCCTGCATCGCCACTGTCTTGAAACGGGCATTTCACAAAGGAGCCATCGGTTGCAGGCGCCGTCTGCATCTCAGACTCGGAGTAGCCGTTCGCCAGCATCTTCTCCAATGTAGGGATGAAGGTCTCAAGCCAAACGGTTGCATTGTCTGCAAACTCCTCAACGACTTGATGCAACGGGGTCGAGCCCGCGGGTTCCGCAAGCTTCTGGAAGGGGCACTGTGGCTCAGCCAGCTTGCCGTCGATTCGCGTCCAAGTGTAATGGTAGTTTTTCAACCCACCCGCGTCGGTGTTCTTCATGCCGCCCCATTTCTCCATATTGAAGTCTTCAAATCCAGGACACCCGGATGGAATACCGTTGGCATCGACTTGAAAATCCACATACAAGCCCATCTCACAAGGGAGCGCAGTTTCATCCAGACCCATGACGAACTTCCATTTCAGCTCGCTCTCGTCGCATGTGTCCATCTCCTCTGAGTCTGGGTTCCACTGCGGGCAAACTAGCTTCCTTGGTAGCCCAGTAACCATCTCATAATAAGGGCACCCTTTTTTGGGCTGGTTTTAAGTTATAAGGGAAAAAGGTGAAAGGGCAGCACTGGGCTACCGAGCTTCTCTTGCAACCACTGGACAGGACCTCCAGCAACGGTATCGCCTCGCACATGAGGCATCCACCTGGCCACTGGTCTGTGACCCGTTGCGTTCCCCACGCGCTTGCATGGAGCCGTGGCACCTGTTGGGTAATACCAGTCCTTCTTCTTCGCGAGATTCCGGAAGTAGCCGTTGTTGAACAACTTCTCTGACTTTGCTTTCCAAGTGTAACGGAAGAGGCTGTTAATCACATGCACTCGTCCCAGCGTATGAGCCCCCATGATGGCAACAGTCTCCCTGCCGTTGAAGTTGAAGTCTCGCTTGAAGAAGTCCACAGTACCTTGTCCATTTGATTGTGGGTTCGGATGGGCTTCTTCTTTGTCCTGCTTGTAGGACGGTGACAAGGTGCTCGAGCAATCCTTCCTCCCAGTCTTGAAGATAAGAGGTCTCGGCATTTCCAATCTGCAGTCTGGCTGTCCCTCGCGAGGGTGGCACTGACCAGGTTGGAGAACGGTCGGGTTATCGCAAACCAGGTTGTTGAGCTCTAGGCTGTACTCCACCTTGGTCGCCTAGCGACCATGTTATTAAAGCACCCTTTTTGGGGTTGGTTGCTCAGAAAGGGAACCTCCAACCCAAAAAAACGGCAAAAGGGTACCGCCTGCCCACCAAGCCACGGCAACGATTGCTGCAAAGGCCCAGAGGTCAGCGCGAGACTTGCCTGATTGTTGCAGCGAAAGGGATAGCTGTGGAGTCTTGGCAGGAAAGCTTCTGTCGGTATAGATTGCCTCCAGGACTTCAACGACATAGCCAAGACCGTTGTTATGGCCATCACCCTCACCGTCAGCAGGAAACTTCCCCTTCTGGAGGTCATCACGTGAGATTCGCACGCCCACGCCCTTCCATTCAAGGCATCCGTCACAGCCACCTGTGCCATCCTTGTACTTCAAGCAATCGTGAAATCCAAGCCTCAGCAGCTTACCTGCACTGGGAACGGAGGTCCACTGCTCTTCCACCTCACAGGGTTTAGGGGATTTAGGGCTTATGGTAGGACATCCCAAGCGAAGGCACATCCCGTTTCTGCGGGGGTTGCAATCATCCTGAAAGCATGACATTGGGGGGGAATGTTTACCAAAACTTTGAGGTTTGGATCGATGCTTCTCCAGACTGCTAAGCCTGATGATTGGGGATCAAACTTGCACATTTAGATTTTCCACCTCCCAAACCCCTAAACCCTAAAACTTTAACTAGTCATGTAAGTTGTGGGCAACCCTGCCTGCAGACCAAGCTCCTTAAACACTTGGTTGCCTTCGTTGATGATGCGGTGGATTTTGGCCTAGGATGGCCCCCAAAACCCTCTGAAAAACATTCCTACATATGATCCTCTTAAGCCCACTAAGGGAAAAATATAAATATTCCTCTTAAACTCAAAAAAAGCGGAAATCAAAAATATCCCAAGGTCCTACCTAGTGGCTCGCACGACACCCAGCTCTTGCTCGGACCAGGCAGCGCCGGGTGCACCAGGAACATACGGTGTCGCTGGAGGCGCTGGCGCCGGCGCGACCGCACCCTCACCCGAACACTTGTCGAAGTTCCAGGACTGAAACGCTCCACTTGGGGAATGGATGGCCGAGGTTCCTGCAAGCCGGCAACTCCAAAAAGAGGCCTCGTGGGTAAGCTTCTCCTTGGGATCACCGCCCGACCCAGAACCGCCCACCCAGCGGCAGTAGTCATGGCACTCACCACAGCCCTGCACATCATACCAGCCTTTGAAGTTGTCAGGATAACCTTCATCGCCCCAACCTGAATACGTGGTTGGCGGCAAGCAACCATCCGGTTCCACGCACGCTGCACAACCCTTACAATTTTTCCAGTTGCACTTCTTCGTCCATGGCGCGGAATTTCCCTCGCACCAGCCATGGCACGGCTGCTCAACTTCTTCAAGGGACTTGAAAGTGTCTCCACGTTGCGACGACCTCTGGAGCAAGCATTCTGCTTGCACTGCCCCTGCCCTATCTTCGATGCATCCGGCAGCCTCTTTCACCTCACAGTCGCTTATACCATCGCTTGCAACTGCGCGAGAAAAGAGAAGCCACAAAATCAATGTACGCATGGTCGGTGCAAGGTTTGCCCGAATCGGTTTGAAGGGAATAAAGCAGTTGCCACTTGAGCAAAACGTGGACTACGGCAGCGTCATGCACAGGCATTTGCATGAGCTCCGGGATGCTCGTTTCCCATCTGAGCTGTCCGCATCGCGGCCGCAAAGCGCACCCAAATTTTACTCCGCAGGCATGGCAGCCTCAACCGAACGCTGATCGGCGCATCTTTGGCCTGGACGAAAAGGGAGGTCGGGCACAAAGTGGTTGAGGTCAGAAGTGCGAAGGTGTAACAATCTACATCCAGCCACTCATATCCAGTGGAATTTGCCATCTTGCCGCAACACACAGCAAACCAAAACAGGCTGAAACCAACACCTACCCTTAACATCCCTTAACCCCGGGCATACAACTGCAACAAGACTGCACGCACGTTTTAACTGCCCGAACTTGAAGCTCACAAGGGTCTGCAAGCTAAGAGCTTGCCAATTGAGAAGTGCCTCGAGTACTCAATAGTCCGCCGAGGCCTTGGGCCTTAGGTCTGGGTGGCACAAAGCAGGCACCCCACCTCGGAGTAAGAGAGTGGCCGTTAGCGATCAGCACGAGGCGGCGTGAAGGAGCGACATCGGAACAAGCTAGTGATTATACTTGCCACGGTGCCTCGCACAGTACCCGTAAAACTAACGAGTAACTACGGTCGAAAGCCACTTCCCTTCCCCACTATCAGCAACCGGATTGATTAGGTTTTCTGTGCTGACACCTGAAAATACCTGAAAGGATGGCGAGGCAAGGAACCGGGAAAGGCGGCATTCCGCGTTGAGTTCAGCGTTTCAGGGAGTTTAGGGCTTGGGCTTCGGATGCTTCGGAAGGTGGGAATCTTGATGTGTGAGTAGCCATTTGGGCTTTCGGAGTGGCGGTGACCTCGCACGCAACCGAGCTTTGGAGCCAAGCCAAGCGCAACTCAGAGTCTTCGGCGCGGTCAGGAGTTTCAAAGCACAAGTGACTGCTGCGCAGGTCCAGGGAGTGGTCCAAGGGAGTGGTACAAGGGAGTGGTCCAGGGGCACCCGGGGCTTTCTCAACCAGTTTCGGGCCACGCGCTAGCAAGGTTGCAGGGTTTAGGGTTTAGGGTTTAGGGTTTAGGGTTTAGGGTTTAGGGTTTAGGGTTTAGGTTGCAGGGTTTGCACAGGGGTCTTGCGACTTTGCGGCTTTGGGCTTGTCAAGGATTTGGCAGTTCTATGATCCCAAACCCGAAACCCCAAGACCCCTGAACCTCAGGTACTGCCTCCTACAGCTAAAACACCTCCCCTTACCTCAGCCACGCCAATGTACTGGTACGTAGAGGGGGCTGGGGCTCCGCGAACACGCGCTTCTCAAGTGAATGTCCCCCAAGACTCTTGGAAGCGCAACTCAACACGTCCCCTGCCGGCGCCGACTTTCTTTTGGGCAAACGATGCCCTACTGATGCCCCTACACGGTCCAGCACCTCTCGTAGTGCACACGAGCAAGGACCGCGGACGAGGTCTCTGCTGCCTTGAGGAGTCGGGGTCTTCTCTCTGGGAGACGAAGGCGCTCAGGCGTCGAAGCGCTTCAGGCCAATGAACTGGAAGATCGGGGAAGAAGCCTGGGATAGCCGGGAACTCTGGGAGCTGGCAAGGACTGCTGCATGATGCCAAAGGTGCAAGGAATCAAAAAGAAATACTAATACTGCTAGCCAAATGCTCCAACTCATGGCGTTCCTTCTTGTGGTCCGCGAGGCCTTCTGAACTTCCCAGCGGGACTTTGGGGGGCTCACATGAAGCAAGCAGCCAAGCTGCCCTCGTCCTGCTGGGCTCGGAGCTCCTCGAGTTTCACCAAACGTGCTCGGATTGAGGGATGAGGCCGCAGGAAACCACAGCTGGAATGGGGCTCCCCATGCCCCATCTGGCACATGTAGCTCCGGGGAGAAGGCCCCACATAACATAGCCCAACAACCCCCTCGGATTTTCTGTGGTTTAGGAACTTAACGCAAGGGTTCAAAGGAAGTCTGTGGTGTTTCGGTTCAGGGTTAAGGACTTGGCTTGCCACCCCCAGTTCCCTTTCAGCCCTGCGCCGCGTCCTCAGCGGCCCGGCTAGAGAAGAACGAAGGCATCATGGCCCCGGCTCCTCCGCCACTCGGGGGCTTTGGGGATGTGGCGGACCAAGACTTCGCTAGCTCTGCTGCTCTGGCCACAGAAGCCATCTCGTTCCCGGGACCCGTTTCGGACACTGAGACCTTCAGCAGATTGCACCGGAACAAGGGATCCTGACTGCCATGTAGGGCAAACGTCTTCGAGCTCTTGAGACTCGCTTCTCGAAGTCGAAGCTGCCCACCACTACTCTGGCAGTCCTCCGCCCCGTCCTGCATAAGTTGCAACTCCTTCGCTTCATGCTGAAAGGGGTTTCGGTTTCCGAAGTTCGGCTCAAAAGCTCCTACATCTGCTGCTTTGAAGCAATGTTGAGAAGCTCAGGGAGGCTGAAATACAGGGGGCCTCATAGTGCTGTAAGGTCACACTCACTCTGACCAAAGCGATCCCCTGGTCAGATGACTAGGTCTTTCGGCTCTTTGAGGTAGGCTTTCAGTAGAATTCTGAAGTTGATGAAACGCCAACACCCCCGGCATCCACTTCCTGCAGAAGTGGCAGCAGCTCCAGCAGCCCTGCCAGGTCGCCGCGGTCCTCTGCTCGGGAATCGATCGGGTTTCTACCAGGTACGAACCCAACCAGAAGAGACTTCTTAAAAGTCTGAAAGATTTGAGAACAACGGTAGAGAGCACAGGGTCAGGTTGTCATGTCTTGCTGTCTTTAGTCTGACAGCAATGGTGAGGCTGAAACGCAGACTGAAAACGCCCAGCGCTGGTGAGCCGCCGCTCTGCAGGGGATGGGCATGGAGTTCAGAGTTCTGGGTCGGGGTTCCTGCCTAAGGGTGCAGGCGGCTCCGGAATCTAGTCTTGAATTTCTGGGGAAGGTTTCGTTGCATTTGCCACATGTCTTGAGTTTCTGAGGAAGGTTTCGTTGCAATTGCTACTCGGAATGAACTTCTGAGGAAAGCTTTGTTGTACATGCAACTAGTCTTGAATGTCCGAGGAAGGTTTCGTTGCAATCTAGAGATGGAAGGTTTTTCTGTAACCGCTACTGGTCCTGAGTTTCTGAGGAATGCTTCGTTGCAATTTCTACATGTCCTGAACTTCTGAGGAAGGTTCGGTTGCAACTGCTACTCGGCTTGAATTTCTGAGGAAGGTTTCGTTGCATTTGCTACGTGTCTTGAGTTTCTGAGGAAGGTTTCATTGCAGTTGCTACTCTTCTTAAATTTCTGAGGAAGGTTTCGTTGCATTTGCTACGTGTCTTGAATTTGGATGGTTTCGTTGCAATTGCTACCCGGCTTGAATTTCTGAGGAAGGTTTCGCTGCGAGTGATACCAGTCTCGAGTTTCTGAGGAAGGTTTCGTTGCAATTGCTACGTGTCTTTATTTTCTGAGGAAGGTTTCATTGCAATTGCTACGTGTCTTGAATTTCTGAACAAGGTTTCGTTGCATTTGCCGCATGTCTTGAGTTTCTGAGGAAGGTTTCGTTGCAATTGCTACTCGGAATGAACTTCTGAGGAAAGTTTTGTTGTACATGCAAATAGTCTTGAATGTCCGAGGAAGGTTTCGTTGCAATCTAGAGATGGAAGGTTTTTCTGTAACCGCTACTGGTCCTGAGTTTCTGAGGAATGCTTCGTTGCAATTTCTACATGTCCTGAACTTCTGAGGAAGGTTCGGTTGCAACTGCTACTCGGCTTGAATTTCTGAGGAAGGTTTCGTTGCATTTGCTACGTGTCTTGAGTTTCTGAGGAAGGTTTCATTGCAGTTGCTACTCTTCTTAAATTTCTGAGGAAGGTTTCGTTGCATTTGCTACGTGTCTTGAATTTGGATGGTTTCGTTGCAATTGCTACCCGGCTTGAATTTCTGAGGAAGGTTTCGCTGCGAATGATACCAGTCTCGAGTTTCTGAGGAAGGTTTCGTTGCAATTGCTACGTGTCCTGAACTGCTGAGCAAGGTTTCGTTGCATTTGCTACGTGTCTTGAATTTCTGAGGAAGGTTTCGTTGCATTTGCTACGTGTCTTGAATTTGGAAGGTTTCGTTGCAATTTCTACTCGGCATGAATTTCTGAGGAAGGTTTCGTTGCAAACGCTACTAATCTGGAGGTTTCGCTGTAATTGCTACTAGTCTTGAGTTTCTGAGGAAGGAAGGTTTCGTTGCGTTTGAGACTCGGCTTGAATTGCTGAGTAAGGTTTCGCTGTAAATGCTACTAGATTTGAGTTTCTGAGGAAGGTTTCGTTGCCTTTGCTACGTGTCTTGACTTTCTGAGGAAGGTTTCGTTGCAATGCTTGCATTTCTTGAGTTTCTGAGGAAGGTTTCGTTGCAATTGCTACTCGGCTTAAATTTCTGAAGAAGGTTTCCTTGTAACTGCTACTCAGGTTGAATCTCTGAGAAGGGCTTAGTTGCAATTGTATATGTCTTGGATGTACATGCTACTAGTCTTGAGATTCTGGGGAAGGTTTCGTTGCAAGTGCTGCATGTCTTGAATTTCGGAGGAAGGTTTCGTTGCAATTGCTACTCGGCTTGAATTTCTGAGGAAGGTTTTGTTGCAATTGCTATGTGTCTTGAATTTCTGAGGAAGGTTTCGTTGCAATTGCTACATGCGTTGAATTTCTGAGGAAGGTTTCGTTGCGATTGCTACTCGTCTTGAATTTCTGAGGGAGGTTTCGTTGCAATTGCTCGGCTTGGGTTTCTAAGGAAGCTTTCGCTGTAAATAATTGTTACCTGTCTGTTACCTGTCTTGAATTTGGATGGTTTCGTTGCAATTGCTACCCGGCTTGAAATTCTGTGGAAGGTTTCGTTGCAATTGCTATATATGTCTTGGGTTTCTGAGGAATGTTTGTTTTAAATGCTACTAGGCTTGAGCTTCTGGGGAAGGTTTCGCTGCAACTGCTACATGCGTTGAATTTCTGAGGAAGGTTTCGTTGCGATTGCTACTCGTCTTGAATTTCTGAGGAAGGTTTCGCTGTAAATGCTACTAGTCTTGACTTTCTTACGAAGGTTTCGTTGCAATTGCTACATGTCTTGAATTTGAGAGTAAGGTTTAGTTGCAATTGCTATCTGTCTTGAATTTCTGAGGAAGGTTTTGCTGTAAATGCTATTAGTCTTGACCCTCTGTGTATTTTGTGAAGATATCCTCAGACCCCTCAACCTCGGCCCCAATCCCTTAAACCTCAAAGAAGGTTTTGGACTCAAAGGTGTCCCGTTGCCTCTGTCCCACTGTTTGCGCTGAACGTCTCCATCTGCTCCAGTCAGGCTCTCTCCACTTTCTCCCTTCCTCTAGTGTTCTTTGTTTCTTTCCGATTCCCGCCCTCTGCGTCTCCCACTCCAAACCTTGAGCAAAAAAAACCTGACGCCCTGGAGGCTGGCGCCCACAAGGACAACTGACAGCGCTGCGTCCTTCAGGAACTTGGTCAAGTTCCCGACCGAGTTGAGCGTCTCCTTTGTCGCGCCAGAGATTCCGCGACCTCTGCGGAAGGAAGGGGAATGGCTGCCAGGATTCGAGCCTTGGAGCGCGACAATCTTTGGTCGTTGTGGTCAGTGTGTCAGAGCTTCGGGCTTCCAGGTTCGGGGCGATCTGGGGTTCTAAGATTCGGATTGCGGAAAGGCGCTCTGCCAGGCCTTCTCCTACATTCAGCATGCGGCCAGACGGGCCACCCCAAACCAGCACTCTCTAACAAGCCTGATCCTCTCGCGGAAGTCCCTATATATGGGCCAGCATAGGCGCACCCCCCCCTCATGGTGGGTTTTGGGTTTTCCCCCCCCCCCCCCTGTGGTGCATGGTCTGTGGTTCATGGGATTTTTGGGGTTAGGCTGTAGGGTTCAGGATTTTCACGCTGGTCCATTGGTTCACTGTGGGTTTGGAGTTTGATTAAGGTTCAAGTTCGGGGTAATGGTAGGTTTAAAGTTTCCCCTCTCCCCCCTGTGGTTCGTGCTGGGGTTTGGTTTGAGTTTTGGGCTTAGGGTTCAGGGTTTGGGGTTTAGACAGAGGCTTCTCTGTCGGATGAAGGTTGAGTCGGTTACAAGTGTCGGGAGCGGGCCGAGGGTGTGTTGGGAACAGGGGGGCGCGCGTGTTGGGAACTGGGCAGGCGTCAGTCAGGAACGCAGGGGGGGTGAGTCGGTAACAGGGCCCATGTGTACAGCACGCCCAAAGGTTGAGTTGGGAAAGGCTGCCCCCAGAATTGAGTTTCGGAGTGATGACCCTACTCTGCAGGTTTGTTTTAAGTCCTCTTTCGACGACTTGGTGTTGGGTCTACAGTCTTCTTTTCAGCTTCCAAAGGGGAGACTTTACGAGGCGAACACATCCGACGTGTCATGGACCCGCACACCAACACACGCGTGTGCCCAACACACCCCAGTTGCAACCAACACGACTAACATTCCTTCTCAGTCCCCCCCCCCCCCAGTCCGTGGTGGTTTTAGGGTTAAGGGGTTGCCATGGGGGGGGGGATACCATTGAAGGGGGGGTCGACTAGCGGAACGCGGGCGCATATATGGTTCAGCGTCGGGCGTTCCCGGCCCCACCCCCCCCCCCCCACCCCCCCCCCCCCCCCCACCCCCCCCCCACCCCCCCCCACCCCACCCCCCCCCCCTCCCAGTGGGATCCCCCCCCCCCCCCCAAGTACTCTACGGACCCTACCCAACCCTGAAACCCTAAACCTAAACCCTAAACCCTAAACCCTAAACCCTAAGCCCTAAAGCCCTAAAAGCCTAAACCCTAAACCCTAAACCCCAAACCCTAAACCTAAACCTTAAGTCTTAAACCCTTAAACCCTAAACCCAAAACCCTGAAACCCTAAACCCTAACCATAAAACCAACCCCCAACCACACCACAGGGGGGGGGGGGGGTATCATCCTTAGTACCCCATCCGCGGGGGGACCCAAACCTAACCTAAACCTGAACCCTAAACCTAAACCCTAAACCCTAAACCCTAAAACCCTAAAAACCTAAAACCCAACCCTAAAAACCCTAAAACCCTAAACCCTAAAACCCTAAAAACCTAAAAACCCTAAACCCTAAACCCTAAACCCTCAAA